GGTCAAAACGACAGAAAAGAGAAAGAGAGAACAATAAAGATTACCGTACCGATAGAATGACACTTACCTTCGCCTTATAATGTATTCCAACAATCGAATGCATTTGGCAGGTTTTAATGCAACACACCAAGTTATCGTAGCAAGTAGCAGTGAAACCCCCACAGATGCTCCGGTCATCCGATTGGTGGGACGTCACCGCCCGAGTGAAGGGGAGGGGGAAGGGGGCGCGGTGGGCGAGAGGGATGCCTTTTTAGTAGAACATTAAGAGTTTTCTCTCACAAGTATCTACGGTTATTAAAACCGTGAGTAATATATCGTAAACATTTCCTTTATTTTTTCAAAGATAAGTGATTATCAGAGCCGGTACTCCTGCTACCGCAACTGGACACAATGTTATGCCCAATTTTTACCGCTATAATCAGATTCCAGAAGGTCTCTGGCCGTCTCAAAAGTGAAAGTGGTAGGATTTCCAAAATTTGAAAAGTTGAAATACCAAGAAGGTGATATTTTTCATGAGTCTCTGCTGCGCAAAAACCAGACAGTCTACTCGGGTGCTTGAGAAACTTTGAAGTCGGTACGCTTTTTAAGCCCCCCCCCCCGTCCATGTTTTCCATTACATTTTACCTTAAATAGAATGCAAAAAAACTGTGAAGGGGCAGGAAAAAAGACCCAGCAAAATTTCACATTAATTGGTTAGACTAGAAGTGTGACGACTTAAGGGATTTTTTTTTGTTTGCCTTTTTATTTTGATTTTACGAGCAATTAAGGCTTCGCCTTTGTGCTTCCAATGGGAGACATTGCCTTCAGGCCATGCCAGTAGTCCCTCAGCCCTTCTGTACGTCGACAGTACATATTCTGCCCTAGTATTATGGCCTATTTTGATCTTAGGGGAAACTGGGGACGTAAGACATAATTTCCAGTTTCCTGCTCATGCTATGACTACCCAAATGTGAGAGACCCCACCTCGGGCTGGTGATTCTTCACTTCAGAATACGATTACCTACCTCGCTGTATCAGACCTGAACACTTTCATCGCCTTCATGTAGCGATGACCACTGCGGACTTAACGGGAATGAAATGTGGTCGGGAAAACAAGTCACATATTTATAACTTTCTTCCAGAAAAAAAACCACTTTACAGGCCTACTTTGCACTTCAGTCTTTAAATTTTTTTAAGACATAAGACCCTGTGACAGATAATCTGCCTTTGTAGGAGGTCTAAAACTCCCAGCCAGGCTTGACTGCGTCCCGTAACTCCATCTTAATGCAAAATTACAGACCAAAGGACAGAGGAGTCGCATTTGGCTGGGATATCCTTCCTCCAGTAAAGTTACTCACATTTAATGGGTTATGGTAAGAATAAAGCTGAAGCTTAGAATATCGCCCAATTTCGAGTTATTTTTGGCTCCAAAATGACATGTGTTAGAGTTTGGATGATTGTAAAGAGACAAGGGATTAAGCTTTTGCAGCATTCATTGGTCCAATTAGGGAGCAATGGCGATACCACGGGTTGTCGAAAAAGGGGGACCTCTATCAACGGAAGCATTAAAGACGAAAGAAGCAGGGCCTGGTGCTATCCGAGAACGCCATTACGTCTCTTAAATAAGGTATATAGCTAAATTAATTAATTTATGAGAGGTAGAACTGATTAGCAAGAAAAACGACGTTTTGACACACGCAGTCACTCCGTCAAATAAATAGTTCAAGCTTGGTAACATTGACGTACACTGTACGTCGAGTTGGTCACAGCCACGACTACGAGGATTGAAGAACTACACACATGATCATCGGCTACCTTGGAAGGCTACCTGCGCTTCTCATTTGAACAGTACAAAGCAAAATCACGACCTTCTCCATCATTTTCTCACTGCAACACGTTAGTTAATGGATCACATTCATGTCCTCTGATGTAGACGCAAAGCTCCACTTCATCGGTAGAGGAACTCCATAGTTTGTGGAAAAGTACACGATCAGAAGAGGCGAATTAATTTGGTGAAATGACAGTGTCTGTGAGGAGAGGCGTGGCATTACGATTGTGGACTGCAATTGAAAATGCCAACCAGAGAGGTGGCAATCGAGGTGAAGTGAGGTGAGGGGGCGGAGGAATTTATGTGGCAGATGAGGGCCGCATTTATGAGTGACCATCGGAAATACAACACTTCACTTGTGATGACTGGAGTTTGCCAAGAGGAGGAGACCCTCCCACATTGACTGTCATTGGCAGTGAATCGAAGTGGTGGCAGAAGTGACTGTGGCCTCCAAGTCGCCTGCAAATATGATGTGATGTGGTGTGAGTGATTGCAGGTGGAGCAGGGATCATGACCGTCACGAGTTGATGTGGTTGTGATGAGAAGTGAGGCATTGGCATTGGTGGATGTCTGTAGACTGAGTGGAGGGATGAGCGTTATGTGTGTTTGAGGTAGGCGAGAGATGACTGATGCATTGGTTGATAATGGAAGAAATGGGAAGTAGAAGGAGGGGAGGTGAGGCGCAGGGTGGCGAATGGGAGAATGTGGACACATTGAATCAGATGGGAGTGTCGTCAAGTGGATACGAAAATAGTGGCGTTGGCGTGAAGTGGAATAAAAACTGCCACAGCATTCAGACAGCCGAGCTACCACCATCACCACCACAATCAGTAGCGCCAGCTACAGCGCCACTGCGACTGGTTGAATTTTTTTGGAAGGCGCACATTTTCAGTTGTCTGCCTGAGATGGATGCAGCCACTGCGACTGGCCACCTTCACGTTTGGATGATTTAAAATTGGCTTTAGTGGTTAAGTGTTGATGGTGGTTTAAATAGTTGGAAGCAATCCCACCTGAATGTGGTTAAATATCGGATGCTTGGACATTTTCGTGTAATCACCAATCCAGTCGGTGGGCTGATCTTTGTGATGGTATCAAGAAGAAGGAGAATACTGCTGTTTCCTTGTAAGTGAATCGTTGACAGGGCGACGCTCGCCATTGGCCACAGGGAGAACAGAAATAAAGGAACTTAGCTTTGCCCTATTAGTTAGGATGGATCGGAACTTGACCCTTTCACCTTAATTTAATCCTTCATCCAAATGACCCTGAGAGGCTCTCTAATTTTGCAAATCGAGGCTTATAGGTGAAAATGCATCCAATAAGGCGCACACCTCTCCAAATTCAGTTTGAATATTTTATTTTAATGACATGTGACAAACCTCGAATTTGGGTGTAAATCACCTAATTAAAGAAATCCCTTTCACGTGAGTTTGTAGTGCATTAGAAGGTATGTATGTCACTTGTCATTTGCAAAATTCTCCCAGCTACTCAAACAGCCAGGACTGGATGCCGTTCTAAGAAGGGATTAAATCCCCAATATTTATTTCTAACTTCTTCTGCTGCTAAGATATATCAAAAACTGTGCCTTATCAACAACAATTTGAACTAGTAATCTTAGCTTCATTTGGGCAAATTTGAACTTCGTTACCTCCAATGTCAATTATGATTACATCATAGGTGATGGGCTTTGCTTCGTGCAAACAAACGGCTCCAGAAGTTGTTTTAGAACCTTAAAAGTGCAAGAAGTTATCCTTTTTGTTTTTGTAATTTCTAGCAATTTCAGGTAACGAAAACAGGATGGTATATTTGGAACTTATTTTAAATCAAACACAAACACTAGTCAATTTTGGATAAAGTACAAAATTAATCCTGTCATTTTAGCTCATTACTTTATAATGGACCTGATTTGTCGTACCTATTCACTCAAGAAAGCGCCTTACAGGTAGAATAAAAGTGGGGATATGGCAAGAAATTGAAATGGGTAAACTCAGAGCCCAGGTGATTGTATGTAGGCTGCCAACGTGCATACATATATGACAGGGAAGAATGTATAATTCAAAGTTGGATACGTCTGAGTGAAGGTTAAAGCAGGAATTTCACGGTTTCAAATAGACATGCCCCAAAAAAATCCACCAGACACTTGGGGAGTTGCAAAAAAGAGGCGACGAGGATGAAGAGAAGGAAGAGGAATGGAGGCAAAGACATGTTTAATGCAAGAAAGGAAAGTTGGAGTAAAAAACCAAGACAGACAGGCAGGCAGATAGGACAGTTGCTCCCTATCACAGTTACTGCCTCTGTTAGTACCTGCATAGAAGAGGAGAGGGTGTGAGAGAGAGAAATACCTTTCAGGCTTCACAGGTGACCATTTATTTGTAGACCAATAATTCACACTCGCCTCATTTCTGTATGTCTCCCTCCAGGGTACGCAATTCCATCCATTTATGCAGCAGGACCTGGTGTGCATAGCACATTCACTACCTTCAATGACACCCCGACCCTGGTGCCGTGGTATGCGGGGCTAAACAAGTCAATAAATAGGCCCCTTTTTTGAAGGAAAGGAAAGGACGAATGTACACAAAGTGTGTGTGGGTGTGTGTGCGCAAATAGAGCTCACGAATTCTTTTATGCTTTCTGGTATGTGTGAATTTGTGTGTTTAAGAAAACTGTTTCATCACTGAGTAATGAAAGAAGCATTTTCGGACACCGAGCCAGACATATAGTTGAGTAATTTACTTCGATGTCCGGAATGGGTCAGGATGAGAGAGAGAGAGAGAGGCGGGAAGGAGGCGCGTGTCAGACAGCGGTGTCCATTATGAGGCGTCCCATTTAGGTAGGTATGACTCCTCCCCACCTCCTTCCCTTCGACATCATTTTTGAACATCGGGATTTGTAGACTCTTAAAAGAAATTTACTTTTTTCGAAAAAGTTGAAAGTACAAGGCTCTGTCTGCCCATCTCTTCCACCTATCAGACGCGATACACCTTGAAAACATTCATTTTTCTCTTGTCTCCGTAAGTAAGTGAATAAGTTTTGGTCCGCATATTTCACATTCAGACAGTGTAAATTAGTTTTCTTCGTCGCTTCCTTTTTCCTGCTGTCTAGTCGAATACATTAGGTGGAAAACTTAAAAACAGGCCTCACTTGATTGTCACGTATTATATTTTGCTCCAATAAAATATTAATGAAGTGGATAAATGGAAGTTAAATTCCCTACTGCCGTCTGAGGTAATCTTACCCACAACTGAACAGGATGAATGGCAAATTCTGCCCACGCATTCAGTCCAAGGGGAAATAAAACTTATAAGTGGACTTCTAATGACTTTGTTGATCAGTGAGCTTCGCAATTTGGGCTTACAAAATGAATTAACCGAAGGAGTTTAAAAAGACTGCCTCATAAATCAGCACACATAAGCAAATTTCCGCCCACGTTGGTGTTGGAGTTTCTAGAGGTCGTTATGAGTCCTTGCCGATATGAGACACTCAAAGCGGCTTTCGCCTACTTTTCCTGCCTACGAAGACGGTGATGTTGTTAACTGTGTCTACTTTGGCATCAGAGTTGACATGGCAGGTCGAAGAAGATGGGTAGATTAATTTAAGAGGATTGAAACAGCATTCTGTACTGTGAGTGCTGTGGACAAAAAATTTGTCTCTATTGGAATGCGGGTAAAGGTATCGCTCTAGTAGGTTTCGAAAATAACCTTAACAGTGTATCCTGAAATGTTTTGGTGGAGAGGGAAGAATGTAAATTGGTGGAACTGCAGTAACATCTGGACGCCTGAAGCACCCTCATATTACGATAAAAACGTGGTCATTTCATCCAGTAAAGAGTAGTTGGTAGTCGCTTTCCTTCACCCGTTTGTTTGATCTCCGAGCTCTGGCTACCCATCGACCCCCGCACAATAGTGAGTTGTCAAGGCGAATGGGTCGGTGAGTGAGCAACCAGCTGGTCCTTTTACGATCTTATAGCCTGTCAAGTTAGGATGTATTAAATGAATTCTACCGTCAGTCGTCATGCTTGAAGGCGTGAATTGGAGCAAACCATTATGCAACTCCCCCGTGCTAAGTGTCTCCTACCACCAAGATGGATGGCGAAAAAATCAAGGGGTAAGTTCAACCTTCACAAGCTCTCTCTCTCTTTTGCTCGCTCTGGTTCCAGGTCTGTTTGTCTGCCTGTCTGTGTGCATTTGTCGAGATCGCTTCGGTTTCACGGTTCTGTCTTGTGTGAACCTGTACTCGTTTCAGGTCGGACTGTGTGTGTGTGTGTGTGTGTATGCGGGCTCGTGCGTGCGTGTGTTCGTGCGCGTGCGTGCATGCAAGCGCACTGGGTCTGCCCTATTGCCGTGTGCCGTGTCCACAATTGGCTGCCAGTGGTCTCTTATAAAAGGACCACATTCTCCTGTCACCTACACCTCTGCCCTGCTCTCTCAAACACCAGGTACCATGGTACCTCTTCTTATCTTCATGCTGCAAGCCCTTCTCGTCTTTACTGTTTCCGACGGTAAGTTTCCTCGCCATCTGGGGCTTGTCTAGACTGCCCTCCGAGTAGATCATTCATGTCCGCATCCTTCCTTGTAGCTGGAAGCTGTTTCCGAATTCGCCTCCCCAATGGCCGCTGCCATGAGCTGCTTCAGCGTAACTACATAACGCGCTCCGAGTGCTGCCGTTTGGGTGGATTCTACGTGAGCGGACACCTCACAGAACCGCAATTTGTGAGGGACCTCCTCTTGCGGCGCACCGGCATTGCTAACTGCCATTACTCCTGCCAGAGGGGTAAGTACATGTCTCATCCCCCTCCCTCTCTCCACTTTACTTTCCCTCATCCTCTCCTGTTTATCATCGCATGGGCATGATAGGTGCTTCAGATTGGCCCTTCAAATTCCACATATGAGTCGATGTTTCTGGGGCAGCACTCAAACATCAAAATCAACTCTTTCCGCAGAAGAAGTGGATTAATTTGCTTTGCAAACAGTAATGTAATTACAGACTTAGGGGAGATTTCAGGAAATAATGTCATTGCGCCTCAATTCGGCCCCTCACGTCGGAAGTTTCCCTATGGCATGCATACCTGCATTAAAGTCGGTCAATTTAAAACATCTGTAAAGACAAAAACACTTTTGTCGACTAGTAGAATAGTCGTGTATTGTGGAAGAAAATTGTGATATCAAGGGGACAAGAATTATGCTACTAACACAATTGTTGCAAGATTTAAGTAAGCCCACCGGCCCAATGGGAAAAAATGCCCTTCCACAGTCCTATTTGAGTGATGAGCATAAAGCGCCCATAAATTCTACCGTCTCCTAACTAGAAAACAAGATAACTGAAAGAGTGAAAAGTTTTTTTCACTCCCGTTAGTCAAATCCTCACATCTCTTGTCCACCGTCCAGACATAGGAACTGTGGAACTAAGTTGGGGTAATAGCCTTTACTTGTCTATATTTACTTGTAGTCACAGACATGATAGCGATTAGATATTAATAGCAGGTGGAGACATCAGTGAGGATGTACAATAATCCCACAGTGGACGCCTAGTCATCAAAGCAGCACTGAATGCTGATGGGTGTCGGTCGGTTCCTCCCTTTTTAACAGATGAAAAAAGTGAGATTTTGGGGTACGTGAAAGCAGGTTTCTCTGATTGTTGTCTATTTACACAGTGATGGCCTTCGTGGTCCAGTGACCTCACCATCAAATACACTAGCATTGTGTTTTGAGGTCACCCTCCCTGCCAACATAAACACCAGATGCAGAACTACTAGATGAGGCTCCACTGAAATTTCTCAGCAGAGGCATGAAGTGGGGCGTTCGTCAAAAATAACTTCCTCTACAGAAAGAGAGAGAGAGAGGCAGAGGTAAAAACGCTCCGTAGTGGGAAGAAAAAGGAGCCCTTAAAAAGAAGAGGGATGGAGAGATAGGTAAGGTACAGGTACTGACACACAAGAGACATAACCTGTCTTGATTAGGCTCTCGCCTCAAAACAAATTAACATTCCAGTTTTTACTTTTGTGGAAAAAAAGCATTACACTGATAGCTTCACCGTCAGGGCTGGCAGCTACCAGCTACGTGGTTAAAAAATTTGTAGGCGTACGGTCATTCCTTTTTTGCCTGACTGTAATCTGAAGAATGTACACATTCCTTTCGAGGCTGTGACAGTCCATCATCTCACTTGACCGCAGAGTGAAGCCAACACCAGTAATTTTTGTCATTTTTTGTTTTCGCGCTGCACTTTAGTCTCAGCAAAGCATTTTTCTTTTTGGCAAATAAACCCCTAACGGAGGGCCTTCCACCTTTTGGAGGGTGTTAGCTTAAAAGATTGTCATGAACTGTTTCCACTTTGCCCACAAGTTGAGGCAGAGAGTTGGAAGGCATCTGAAGGCACAGCAGTGTATTTGAATGTTTATTGTTTACACATAACAGTATTACACACACAAAATTGCATGCGCCACGACTGCTGCATGGCTATTTTTCCCCATTTTAGCACTAGACTACTTTTTAGGCTTCCACAATGAGAGTTGCGCTCGGGTCAACTGTCCGGACGGTTTTAGATGTGAAGTGCAGAACCATGAGGCTGTCTGTGCTTGCTCCTCCATTTGCATCGTGGAGGACTTTGAGTCTGGACCAGTGTGTACCACAGATTTTCGGCAATTCCGCAACCGTTGCTCCTTCTTGAAGGAGCGCTGCCGCAATCTGGACACTCTCCTTGTGGAAATGGAATGTCCACCTGCCGATCATGTCTGCCCTTACAGGCAAAATACCAGTCATCTTGAGGATCATGACTATGCATATCCAGTGGTAGGTCCTTATTTAATCTACCATTTCAAATGTCTGATTTGTTCTTCACCCTTAACTGACGCAACGAATCTGTTCCTCATTTCTCAGAGAATCTGTCCGCCAAACAAAGTCTGTATTGTCCGGCAGTACAGTGGAAGAGCGAGTTGTGAAGATCCCAATTGGCTCGGTAGAAAGCACATTGAATCCGCCTTCGATAGAGTGACTGTTAGCAACCTGGACTCCTGTGCCAACAGTCCATACGGCAGCCCCATTTGCGGCACGGATAACAACACCTACAACAACCAGTGTCACCTTCGAAAAGCAAGTATTCAAAAGGGTCTGGAAATCAGGGTTGCCTACTTGGGACCCTGCAGAAGTAAGGGAAAGAGGAACTAATTTATTTATGCCTTGATGAAACCTGACAATCCCAACAAGCACTTACTTGGGTGGGTTTTGATGTGTTGATGTGTGGTTTTCCTGCCTCTAGTCTGTTCCTAATGCTGGTCGTTAATCACTGTCTGGAGCTATCATTCCTGGCAATAAACAAAAACAAACGCTTATTTCTACTGCTATTGCCTCATTCACGGGCCCGTTAGTTGAAGAGGTATTAGCAATAGAAACTACAAAGTCATTGTAGCCTTCTCACACCTCGACCTGGTTGAGGAGGCCTTACTTTTGCCAACCCCTTTTGCCTAGAAAATGCGACGTGTGACCAGATCAGATGTCAAAGCCCCCATATGACATGCGTGCCACATGTCAGAACTGGCCAGCCAGTGTGTTTGGATTGCACGGATCTGCCACCCAACTGCAATCCTCGAGTATTTGTTCGAATAAATCCTGCCGAAATTGCTGAGATGACTCTCTTTGAAATGTTCAAAGAGGCGAAACAAAACTTTGGTGATCCACGGTGGCACGGAGACGTCTTCACAAATGGCTGGCCTCGGGTGTGTGGAAGTGGAAGAAAATCATTCCCCAATGCCTGCTTCCTACACGTCTACAATTGTATCGCCAAACGCTTTGTCGACCTTGTCTCAACTGGATATTGTCCAGGTTAGTAGATATTAAATAGTCACTAACGCCTCTCTACGCAAAAAAGGGCATTGCCATGGCAGAATGATCTCCCTTTCATTTCCTCTAGCCGAGTAATCTCCGAACTCTCCATTGTGCGTCCTCAGGAGAAATTAAAAAAATACTTCATTCTGAAGAAAGAGAGGACAAGCAAAGTTAAAATCATCACCACTATCATAACCACCACTTTCGTCACTCTGACCCTTGCGTCACCTCACTGTTGTCTTTCCTGTGCCCTCATGCATGCTACTCAGGACCTGTGAGTAGCATCAACCCAGCAGGTGCATACGCAACTGACAAGTATGTTTCATCATTATGCCCTACTCCTACTCCTCACCCTGCCCTTCACTTCCTACTCCTGTGGTGACCCGATTAACTGTTTTGTTACTTTGGTAACCACAAACATTCCTGCCATTCGTTGTGTTGAAAGTGAAGCACAATCCAATGTCTCAGGCTCATCCTATTACAGAAAAAATCAGTCACAAGCATACAAGTGAAGCTCCCATGTCCTCCTGTATATCCCCACAGTTTTCTTCCTTCAGTTTATCCTCGCCTGTGTGGGTACAAAGCGAACTTGATGAATTTGAAAAACTTTTGATCTGTTCATTCACACACACACACACACAAAAACATCTCATGTATGTATTCTCTTTTTTTTGGAATGGACATTATTGGCAATATTATTTTTTTGATATCTGAAACATGTATTTTATCCTTTGCGGTAGGTGAGTCGATGAAAGCCCGGTTGGATGAAAGTATAAGTATGGAATGCAAACAGGAAAGATGGATCGATGGATGGATGGATGGATGGATGGATACGGGATGGATGGATGGATGGATGGATGGATACGGGATGGATGGATGGATGGGATGGATAGACGAATGGATAGATGAATGGATGGATGGAAACGGGATGGATAAATCGGTAGAAACAGGATGAATGGATGTGTACAAAATGAGTGGATAGAGGATGAATGGGTACAAAGTGGATGGATACAGAAGAATAGATGTAGAATAGATGGTGGATGGATGAATGTGTTAGTAAATACATCAACCTCCGTACGAACCAAAGTTTGTTGCCAGCCGAAAGCGATGTCTGCACCACTGTTTCAGTCAGATCCAGAAGGCCTCCAAATATCAAAGATGTTACTCTTGTAGCTAAGTAATATTAACGGTACTTTAGATCCTAACCTCTATCCGTTGGAACATTTGTTTGAACACGGGGTCGTTCTAAATAAACCCTCTTTTCCTTTGTCGGCCTATTCGCCTTTCCCTACTCTCCGGTTGTCTACCTGAATTTCATTTAGTTACCAGGCCCCTGAAGCAATTGCCATTCCTTCATGTAGGTAACCTACCTTCTGGACGCCTTCATAAGGCGCATTTTAATGCATTGTTCTAATCTGCTGTCGGTTCAATTGTTAGTCTCCACCTTACCAGTGCATAAGATCGATGTGGAGCTTAAGACTAGACGAGCCTTCAACACTCCTTCCGTTGTGAGTCTTAACAGATTTAGAAATCTACCCAGCAAGTTCTTTTCTGCGACAGGCAATGAAATCTGGCGCATTCATCAAGTTCCACTTCACCTACCGCCTCCACCGAATTCGCTCTCGTGTCATGCCCCAAGACATTACATGATTATGTGGATCTTGACAACTGGATAACTGAAACCCATTGGGAATGAAGAGTGAAAAGTGCCGAGCGCTGTGTAGACGGGCTTCTACTTCTACAGAAGGAATGAATTTTGAAAAAAAAATGGGGGAAAAAACAACATCCGAGCATACGTATGGAGGAGAGGTCAATAAGTGCAGGCACCGGGTGGTTTTTCGATGGGAGGAAAAAAAGCAGCAAGTCAGACAACGATGGCAACATCGATGACCCAACGTTAGATGATCGCAATGTTGATGACATTTTACTTCACACACATGCATGTGTTTTTGTTCCTTCTGTCGTCGCCTTGTGCCAGTGATTCATTTTGGGGTGTGAATTTGGCACCATTCCCCCCACCCTCCTCCCCCTCCTCTGTCTCGTGGTGGGTCTGCTGAACTCAAGTTATCCTAAAACCTTCAAAATGACTCCTTTACCTTTCCACCAATCACCCGCATGGTCTACGCCTTCGTAGGCTTGATAAAACCCAGTCTTAACATTTGAAACTGTCTGCGTCTTGGTACAGGGTGTGTTCCGATTTTGGCCATTCAAAGCAGCACTTGGCATCAATTTTGGCGACAGTGTTGAATCAAAGTCTACACCAAGTTGACAATCGCCGCCGACTGGGTTAAAATTTTTAAGAGAAATAAAAAAACAACCTTCGACTTATTATGGAGATTTGAAATCCTTCAAATGGTCAATAGAAGAAATGCTTTCTCATCCTCATCTTTCATGCCTTTAACTTCGTCGGTCGAGAAGGTAGCCTTCAACGAAGCTCACTTCTTCTTCTTCTCTCCCTCTAGTGAAATACCCTCTTGACCCCAAAATAAGATGCTCCTTGAAATTGCCCTTGGAGCCTTCCAAGTTCACATCTATGGTGTCTTCGCTGCGCTGCAAGGATTGCTAGCTTCTTCAGGGATTGGAAACAGCTCAAAAGGGAGAAGATAGGGTCCACCTAAGATTGGTCATTTCAAGTCTTGCATTTTACTACTGAGAAGTGTCAACAAAACCGGACTTTAGCCTCTCTCACGCATTGCAGGTGGTTTCGGTTAGAAAGCTGCAATAAAGGACAAAAAAGAGAAAGCCCGAATCCCTCACCCAACTGCACAGTCGCATCGACACAAACGAGGTAAAAGTTCACATGTGAAGGTCTTTCTCGCTCTCTTGGTCCCTCTCCCTCTCCCACCCGCACCATCATGGTCACCAGGGCTCTAGGCCATTTCCAGATCAGCGCCAGGTGCGCCCGCAATTCTTCTGAGGTATTTGGACTAATTCTAAACCCGCCGCTATTCATCTTTTTACTGCCTTCGTCTTACGGTGGTATTGGGTACACACCCACACCCACACACGTCGTTAAAAGGGAATACAACGTGGGCAAACGTGTCTAGCCGTTTTTGTGCCATTGGGATGGACGGTAGGCGAGGGGAGGGGGTAGGTGGGTGGAGAAAGAGGGTAGGCATGCCCTTGATTTACAGGTACGTAGGCAGTTAGGTACACGCCCACCTAGTCGGTAACTCTGATTGAAAAGTGACGAGAAAGCGGCCTGCTACACAACCATCCACTTTTTTGAGTGCTTCACCCTCGACAACTCTCCTCAATTCCTCGTATATCTTCCACTGGATTGTAATCAAACCTGGGGAAGGAACAAAGATGTCGAAGTGGAGCTGACAAACATCAGGAGAGGGAGGAGAGGGGGTTTATCTGCAGTTCCGACGTTCTCTTTCCCCCCGGATCCTTCAAATGTGGAGGTTTCAGATGTCAATATCTCATCTGTCACTTTCCATCACTATCGTACTACGTGAAATAGAAGTCAATGCAGAATCGGGTGCCCTTTTCAGTGCGAGACACCGCAGATTCAGATCTCCAAGCCAGGTGTCCTCCCAACGTCGCGATGTTGTATATTATTAAGCCAAAACAAAGAGGTGCATCTCCAGACAGCGCGTTGGTTGTGTGCACAGAAAGGCTAGTTGACAAATGTCAGGAGTGACGCCATCAGCTTGTGGTGACCGAGGTCTACAGTCACGCCTCTGTCTGGACCATCAACTTGTAGTTATTAGTTGATTTTGATGGATGCGGAATTACGCCCCCTCTATGAAATGCATTGGCAGGCATTCACTAACCATGAACTATTCGGTGTAGGTCTATGCTCTACAACGAGATCAGAGGAATTTTCGAGAGTAAACATGAATCCAAGTTGTCTAAGCAGATTCCTCTATGATGTTTTGAGCGACTAGCCAGGCAACAAAACCCAGATGTCGCCCTAATTCAATGGATGGTCACCAATAGAGCTTCCATGTCCTCCCCTACGATGTTATAGAACTTTAGCAAGGAATATGCAAGGAAAAGTTGGCAACCTATTACCATAAATGGCATGAACTGAACGCCATGCCGTGAAGATGTGGCGACCCAAATCGAGGAGGCGGAAGCCAGTAGCTTCATCAGTGGATGGGGTAGGTGGGGGAGTGGAAGAATGGATGATGATGCTGGCGACTGAGATCGAAGTCGACTAAGCGAAAACGGTGCGGCAGTCAGGTGGACAGGCAGAAGGCGCAGAGTGAGTGTCCTCGTAGCCGCTCAGCACAGTTTCGCCTCCATCGTCTAGCCGTCGTGCGTCGCAGCTGGGTGAATCATGTAAGTCGCTCTCGCTCTCTCTTTCACCGTCCCATGCGCCCAGACGCGACACGGTATGAGTGCATACGTGTTTGCAGCCAAGTGCAGCGGGTTGGCCATGTCTCCCTAGTGGGTCATTGCTTCACCTGTTTGTCCTAGTTCTACCTTGGACGAAAAGCACATATCCGCAAGGCATTCTTACTTAGGTGGGTAAGTACTGCACTCAGACAGTGAGTGAGCCAGTCTTTATTCCTCCGCCCCTTTTGTTCCACCGCATATAATTGACCTTGTTTAAATCCACCCAATTCCATTGCGTGCCAAATTTGAGAAAGCGCATAAAAGTCGTAACTCTGTCTCCTGATTGGACAGTTTGGGAGATGTTCAGGTATCACCTCACAAAGAAAGTAAGGTGGTGTTAATCAACACTCCCCTTGAATCCTTCCTTCAGCAGAAGCCTTGCTTTTACTCAGGATTTCCTTTTCTCCTGAACTGTTGCGTTGGCGCACATTCTTGTTGGTTTCGTCCAAGCTTCCTCCTCGTCGTTTAAGAACGGAATGGGGCCGAAGATGATCATTTTGGTGAAGTGGATATTGAGCAACCCGTGCGTTCATGCGACTACGATCACAAAGAGTGTAAAAAGAACTGTAGAGGTAGAAGAATACCTGACAGTATTGTCCCAGCCAATGCTTCTACTCTGAAGAACCGTGAAGGTTCACCTCACGAAAGTAATAATGCTACTCTAAGCATTCGTTTGGTTGAACTGCAACATGGTCCCGCCTCTGCTGAGACGGTACAATAGATTGTTATGTTAGAGGGTTCGACATCCGTCACGTCAGGAGGGCCATTTCCGAACTTTTCTATCCATTTTAGGCTCTTTTCACACATTTCCATCTTCCCTTTTCATTAAAGAGTTAAACGCTTAAATCTAGCGACAAGTTCTCGACTAACTTGGAAAGAGTCGATCTGCCTAGAAATATTGTGACGAGACAGGCTTGGTCATTCCATAAATTCACAGTGAAATAGAGGAATGCTTCATAGTACGGATCCTGTTGTGTGGGCAGACGCCGACAGACAACATCACAATCCCCTTTGACGGACCAACTTCCCTCCTCTCGTAGCCAGGCGTGCTCCCCATTCCCTCTCAAGCCGATCACTTCATACGTTGTGCTTTGTCTCACTTATCCCATCGCTATCCGCGAAAAGAATCACCAACTTTTCCCTCGACGGCTGTTTGTAAAAGTTTTGCAGTTTGATCTCTGATTCTTGATGGTGAAGACACATTTCATCATCACCAGCCACTTATGGCGAGCGAACACCCAGGAAGTCGTAGTTAGACTCGTCTATCAGCGACTCCATAGACATACATCCGAAACCGTAGGCCGTCGCTAATCAAATTAAGAGCAGCTCCAACATCCACTGTTTGCTCTCCTGCTTGCAGCCATCTGGACGTAAGGAGAGCCCCGCATGCACAACATCGGAGGTCCCACCTCTTGACGACTCTGCGAAAAGTGCGCCGAAAACACGAGTCCGTGATGTTCCAGAAAAAGGACGAATGCAGATCTCATTAGCAAACCGTAAAGGTAACCGACTTGCCAGATGGAAAAAGTTGCATCAGAGAGTCAGAAAAGTTCAATCTTCCCTTATCTAGTGTCAACTGTTCCAACCAAAAAAGCATTTCGGGCGACTGGTACATGTTTGACGAGGTCCTGTAGGACAAAAGTTTTCCTATTATTTGCCTTCCCGAGGAAAATGTGGAATTGGAGCGTTTTATGCTGCCATCATTCGTGATCATACAGACACAACTGAACGAAAATGCTACTGAAGAACTGACAGTAAAATAATGGTAATGAGGAAAGGCGATGGAAATTCAGAGACCGGAAACGGCGCTGCAAATTAGGGGCATACAGTAATTGAGAAAAAAAATTGCAAAATGAGGGCGAAGCAGTGTTCGCCACACCTTAAAGTCCATGAACGACTGGGCCTGGCTGCCTCTCAACACACCTTCGAGTTGTGTCACATCGAGTAGGTGGAACTCAACCCTAACTGCTTGGACCTCAGCAACCAGACAGCTCCCAGTCACACATTAAGCACAAGCTTCTAGGGATAAAATGATGCGAGACTTACTTATGTGTGGTGGTGGGCGAGTTGATTAAAGAAAAACTATGCGTTTATCCGCCTGGCGCTGTAACGCAAAAAGCATTTCCCGTCGCAAGTGAATCAGCCATTGGACAAAGAAGCCCCTTCCAACACCGAATTATTGCAAAGAACGCAGCAGTGGGGAAAAAGTCGATGCCCCCCGAGAGGGAGGCACTTAAGTGAGGACGAAGGGAGACTACAAGCACCTTCCCACATGATTTCCCGCCATATTGGTACCTGAATGCCAGGATTTCACTGATGTAGTAGCCCCCACAAGGGAAGGATATCGCAGTGAAGCAGAACCACCCTAGAACGTCACGAGTACCCATCATGAATCAATTCCTCGAAATCCCGAACTCCCGTAAAAAATTTGCATCATCCGTTGCCATGGCGAGAGACATCCTCTGTGCCATTTCGTTGCGATGACTGCCATGACCATCTTTGAAGCATTTACACGTTTCAAAGGCCTTATTGCAGGGCATCACCACTTCGGAAGCACGAAATTTGCGTGCTACTGGACCGTAATAGATTGGACAGAACCGCCCGAGGATACGTGGACTGGCCACTAGTGATGGGACGCCTAAGGCACCGCCTACAACGTCTAGTTCCGCCACAGGAGCATCTACCCTCATTGCTATAGAATCAAACGCCCTTTGCAGTTAAATGACTGGAGCTTTCTTCGCACACGTCCTACCAAAAGCACCCACAAGTGAAAATAAATCCCTCACTTAGCAATCTAACAGTCAAAAATGCAAAAAGACAAGACAAGAGTAAGAAAGGAATCTAGAAATGTTAACACTTCTCCAAAATTGACAACTAATTAGCTATAAACACCCGAGCAGAAGATAGCGATTAGTAAGAGAAAAGTGATGACGATGAGGGGAAGGGGAAGCAGTTAATCCATGCTTTTCAACGACTTGAGATGACGCTCGATTGCAGCCTGAAACAAAAAGAATGATAGGACTGAACATTTGCCAAAAACCGGTCAATCAATCTGTCCGCGCGTGCATGGATACGAAAAGGAAGCGTGAGAAGGCATTAGGCCAACGGAGCAACAACACCGATCGGCGGCATTGGGCAGATATACGCCCTCCGAGTTCATGCCAGCAGCAAAGAAAAAAACGCAGATGATAATTAAACGTGCGGTTAAAAGCGAGGGAAGAGGAGCGTAATCACATTTAAAAACGAAGACGGATCTAATCAATTTCCTCTAACTGCTCTAGGCTTCTGCGCAGAGCCTCCTAAAGACAGAGGTAGAAAAGGGGTGATTAAAAGGCGCGATTAAAGTATGCCAGCACCGTATTTCGAGGGCATAAAGTAATGCTTCCATCTGGGATCTTCGTTGAGTTGTAAAATACTCAAAAAATAGCAATAATAATGCAAAATTTGTGTGTAACGAATTTTTCCCCTTTCAAACAAGGTCTTCTCGGTACAGCATTATCTGGAGGTATTCCCTAAATTCCAAGTTTTTTCTGAGTTAGAACATCCGAAACCAAACGTTGCGTATATTGGATGTTCTCACATAGAAATAGAGTTGCACAAATAGAACATCCTTTTGTTTGCATATGATAGATAAATGATTGGACTAAACCTTATCACATACAGATGGGCCGATTTTGGAGCACAATAAGTCGGGCAGTCCAACTTTAGATAGAAACTGTCTTCCTTGTATTGTGGTAAGCAAATTCTTATCAAGACCTCGGTAATTAATTTTGTAGTAAAGACATTGACGCTTCCAGCACAATAGATTACCTTGTGACGCTCGATTTGTTCCTCATGGAATTTCACCTCCGCAACAAGATGTTTCTTCAATTCTTTGATTTGCTCCAAGTCCTAAACGGGAGAAAAAAAGGTCACATTAAACCCTAGCATGGAAAACAAAAAACAAGGGTTTTCCACCACTTCACCACAAAAATCAGTCCCTTTCGTGGATTTTACCTTGCGATGAAAATACTCTTCCTCCAGTGCGGCTTCCCGTTTACCAAATGAACCTCCTGCATCACGCACAGGACCGCCTTTGCCACCACCCTAAGAAAATTGCACGCACCACTAATTAGAACAGGTAATTTCACCACATCACAACAAAAGCTTTCATCCAATCAATAAAGCCAAGTACACCATTCCGAAAAAGAGAAGTTCTACAGCTTTAAAGGAATTTCTATAGCTTTCCAGAGAAACAAATTTTACTTCATCTCAAATGCAGTATCTTTTTTAATAGTCCAAAAATAGGAGCAGTTGAAGCAAAAGTGGCTCAGCCGTCAATCATTAGGACAAATATCAAGAAAGCAGTTCCTGTTATATCGGACTACTTGTTGGCTTTAAGTTATTACAAAGATAGTGGTAAATTACCTTTGATACGCCACGACCAAGCTCATCACCGGGGTACATCCGATAGCAACTGAAGTTGCGAAGAAAATCGAGTAAATAAAAGAGCCGAAAAGAGCTTTGCGGTTCATTTAGTGACTTAACACAACGAATGTAGAAAGACTACGTTTAATCACAACAAATTCTGCTGCACATCAGTTACATAAGCATCGCCAGAAGTAAGTAAATAAAATGCAATTTTAAAGCTCACCCAATAACAACAGGCTTTAGTATATCGATGCTCTTTGGATTTGCTCTTCGCAAAAACGCGGGAATAAAAGCAAAACCAGAGGTGAGCATATTACCTGAGCGAAATACACAGAAACGAAACCAAAGCACCCTCCGATGATTTTATTGGTTAAAAAATAGCCAATCAATTCTCAAGTTTGCATTTCTGGCTATGTAAGCCCGCGATATTTCCTTTTTCATTAATATAAATTTACATAAGTGAAACTTTACTCTCGTAAAGGCCATTTTAATTAAAGTAATTTGAAATGACAAAAACTTGCCAAAACTACACGCCAAAGAGGTCGATTACAGGATTGTCAATCACACAATATAATGTGGGAAAGACCTCAAAGTCTCGAGCCTCTCCTACGTCATAAAAAGTTGAAGTGGCATGAAAATGTGTGCACTAGCAACGCCGCATTCCAGACCCCCTTTGAGGTCGTAACAAACCAAGTTAGTTTGAAAGGACGTGCCTTACTCCTACACAAGCCGGCCGAGAGACCATCAACAAGACCCGAATATGGAGTATAGCCTGCTGGGACTTAAGAGTCCCATGGTTGAAAGCGTAGCTAGACAGTACTACCACATCGACTGGTATACAGCTACCTGGTATAGAGCCAACAAACCAGTGGGTGCAAAGACGACGCATTTGCAACCCCACAAGTCGTCCTAAGAGGCATGAGAATAGGGCATAGATGTCGTTAGAACCCTCGGGGCGCGAGGAGTCTGCGCCATCAAATGCGCAATTCGTAAAGCCTCGTCCCACGAGACTAAAAGACACTTCATTATATTTACTCAAAAAACATCACTTAGTAGGTCCAAAATTCTATTCGCCTCTCGCTCTCCATAATAACTCCTCATGATTCGCTGGAGAGTGGCTTTAACTCCGTCGTTGTTTGACTCACCGACCGCCGTGGTGACGGTTGCCAGCTTGACCAATTCCCAAGCATACTCAATACTATCAGCACCAAATCGAGTGCGCACGAAATCACATGATTCAGTCGTCAAATAGAGCGCAACTTTTCGTGCCTCTGACGATGAAGTGGTCATGGCTTCCTTGAAAAGCCCGAAGGCTGTCTCGTCTGCAATTTCACCATAAGAGGGTTTAGGAGTCATTGTGGCGGTAGGATCTGACAGACGCTTCAGTCTCTTGAACAGAGATGGAAGAGTAGACAAAGGCGTCTTTGAAGAACAGATCTAGAGGTAAAAGTGATGCCCAATCAGGCTGATTGCTTGGGATTCCGCATTCCAACCTTTTATATTATTATTTCAAAAGAGGTAATGAAATCGTACCTTTTCAACCAGCTTGCACCACCGATCATTTTCTTCGGGAGATAAAGTAGTAAGTTGTTGTGTTTTATCACAATGGACGCAGGAGCACTCAAAGAAGTACTGTTCAAGAAGAGCTCTCTTTCGAGCGCCCATGTCGGGATTATGTCGGAAATGCGGACCGTAACACGTCAAGATTTCATCTCCTGGAGATAAGTCTTTAATACATCGAATAATGATAAATCCATTCTAAAAGGCGATTTCAGAAATTTATCAATTAGCAAGAGTTTGTAGGTAGTCCGTGCTACCATTTCTACTAATTACTACTAAGTAGCAAAACCGTTTCAAAGCTAACCGTGAACTGGTACGCGATGTTGGGTTCGCAGGCATGATTGATGAACGACGCAGTGGGAAAGAGACCTCCACCAATGCGTTCCTGTGCCACACCAACTAGCCCGTAATCCCTGCTAACTGCAGTATTAATTTGCGTTATTGCATGAACGTTACACTGCAGCCGATGCAACATTCGAAAGCACCAATCACCACAGTTGGGCAGACCAATACGCCCCATTAGGAGACCACATAGCCATCCAGTCAAGCCATACTCGAGGTGCGATGGAAAGTGTTCATAATTGTCGACTAAACTGTCTAAAGACACCTCTCTATCAGGTTGAAGAAGATGCCGTCCTCGAAGTGTTCCCAGCCGGTAGCAGAGATGACCGAGACCAATTGAATTGAGCAGGAAAGCATATCTAGGACAAACCATTATCCCATAACAGCATTAGCAAATGAAATGTTTGAATAAAAGGTAGGTCCCATACCTGCATTCATCTTTGTGCCATTGTGGCATGATAAATTGACCATTCCTGAAGTGTCGAGAGAAGCAACGAGATGGAGGTCCACAAAAAGCTGCGCCGTTGCAGTCTGGACAAACATAACCTACACTTTCTAGCTGATTGTGACAGGCAAGACAGCGAATGTGCCGTTGAAACGGTAATAGAATACAAGATGCAACTGCCAGCTCGTCAGCCGCCGGTGCCCCACATTGAATTTCACCTTTTCCCCAACCACCCGAGGGCTCACTTGCTAATACATCACCTGCTTTGAAATATCCTTCACTGACGACATATCGGCCCTGTTTAGGTGACTCATGAACAACCAAACGGCTTGAAAGAGCCTTCAACTGAAATTAAAAAAGGTGGATATAACTCTAACTCTATTACATCAGTAGAAATACCTTTTTACTTCTCCCAAACTTTGGAACAGGCAGATTAACAAAGCCGTAGCGTTCTTCTGAATCGAGTAGAGGAGCTGCATCTTCGCACAACTTTGTGACCCATTCATAGCACTCGTTCAAAACGGTTAAATCTTCTCGTCCCACTTTTGTACAGGCTTGTTGTAACCTAAGCTGCAGACGTTTTCCAATTGAACTTTGTGAATCATCGTGAAGCCGTAAGGCCAAACATACATGCCAAATACAGGCCGTCCACTTTGACTGATGCAGGAAACACGCCGAGAGGTTACCGTGGAGAAGGGCAGCTTCTTTTGAATCTATTTCCGCAATTAAAATTCCTTTTTTGTAGCATCCAGACGCCGTCTCATAGTCTCCTAACCTAGAAAAAAATGAAGGGAGCAACTCAGGTACCGAAAACAGGCAGTTTAAAAACCAGTGATAAGGTAGTGCGCACTTGAAGTACTTATTTCCCTCTTCACGACAGTTGATAGCCTTTTCCGAGCTCTTGCATTCAACGAGACCACTTTCCAGATCAAAAATAAAGTTGTGAAGGTTTTTTAACGCCTGACTTGTGTGCTTTCCATCTGCATACTTCTTCAAACGTGCGTAGTATTCAATTGGTGTGCCGACAGGTTTAAGTAGACCAAAAGGATCTCCGTCTGACTCAATATGCTCGACTTCTGTAGAAAGAATATGTTCCCAGATTCGACTTGCTCCCGATTTACCATCATTTCCTCGGAGCATGGACTAGAAAAGGCCAAAATTAAACACTCGAAATGAGAGAAGTACAACAAAAGTTATTTTCGCAATGTAAATAAAAAATTTATTCCATAGATAAAATAGGTTGACAATATCAAAAGCAAGTTAGAGATGATTTGTTCAATGTGGCTCCGGTTTGTGACCATCCACGTAGAAGTTCCGAGTTGCTGGCGGCAGTTCGATCACAATTCCATCCAACTCTTTAGTCAGGATTATTTGACAAGCTAGAAATAAAGCAGTTCAAATTTAATCAGTAATTCAAAAAGTTTAACACGCTTCTACAGTACTATAAAACTCTGTTGTAGAAACTAATACCTCAAAAAGTGCAACAAATTAAAAACATTAGCTTAAAACAGTGAACATACAGAGCCGGGAATTTAGTTTGAGAAACGGAGCCATATCTAGCATATCATTTTCTTCATCACTTGGCTCGGGGAGTTTATCCAACATTTCTTCGTTCACGTAGACATGACAGGTAGAACAGGCCAATGAAGCTTCGCACGCACCCTCAATATCAATGCCGTGCCGACGGGCAAGGTACATTAAATTGTCGTTAACCTTGCCGGCAACCCTTATTTCTGTTCCATCCTTGTCCTTGAAAATTACATGCACACTATCGAACAAATCAAAAGAGTGTTAATGAACTCACACATCGTTGGGGGACTTCGGATCCTCCCATTCGCGCCGGCCATGAAACCTAACACCTGTTATCATGTTAAATGTTACAGAAAAGCCACACCTGAAATTAGTATATACTGAGCGCTGGCGGGGTTAAGGCGATGAACGTAAGGTCTAAACACCTGAAAGAGGTGTCGAAGAAACATCAAATACTCTTAAGACAGGTGCAAATGCCACACGGGCCGTGCAAAAGGCTACCACGAACAAGGCGCGTTTAATTGAGCGACCCTGAACGACAGCACTTGATCTAACTAGCCACTTTGTACTCACCCGTTTGAGGAAATGCCCAATTAACTTTACCAAAAATATTCATTTTAATTGATTTTCCTATAACTTAGAAATTTAAATGCTAACGAAATGCCCAATGTAGTTGGCGACTTATTTTGTGAACACAGTTACGCAAAAACTACATGTGCAATTTACAAATGATCCGTACTGATTTGAATAATTGTTCTTTTAGTTACTTATACAATCCGCGCGCTTCCTTAGCCCACTTTTTGCTGCAAAAGCCTTGACAAGGACCGATGTGCAGAAGACCTCACGCAATGCTTGAGAGGAGAACCTCTACACCCAACGACCGACGACGACAGCACATCCCCTCCGCCCTATCCTAAAATCCCCAACGTCGCCCTCGAATCTGGCTCAAACCCTCATCGGCCCCACCCCAGCCGCAACACATCGACGAAAGCACCACCGCCGCACCTTGGCCAATTTACTACAATCCAACAAATTAACCCAAGTACGCTGATTATCACATAGTTCCGGCGCAAGAAGGAAAAAAAAACAAAGTCGGGTGATGGGAAGGAAGAAGAGGACACAACAAAAGACGGATCCAACGTCCCACTCACGCATAACGCAATTTTAGATGGGTAGGATGACGATTGTTGAAATAGGCAGATAGTAATAAAGTGAAAGAGGAGGGCTTTTCCTACAATCACCATCTCTAAGCCTCCTGTTCTGGCATGAAGGCCGAGCTAGGCAGCTCCTGATTGGTTTTTCGCGCTAGTTCCATCTGCACTGCAGATGCTTCCTTGCGTAGCTTCTCTGGAGTCATACACACCACTGAAAACAGCAAAAAGCAAACTAAGTCCAACACAAAACCCCCAAAAAAACACCCCCGCCCAACTTACAAAAGCCCTCGTTCCGCAGAAAATGCAGAAAGTTCACCGCCAACTTGTCTGGGTCCTCTTCCATCAAAAATCCATTGCAATCGGGCACTAGAAGGAACTGCGTCCTCCTCGGATCCATGCGTCCATTTAGGTCAGACAATGCGCGAGCCAAATCCTGCGCTAGAGCACCCGTTACCAGACAACAGTTGACCTTGATCGCAGTGGGTTGAGCTCCTTGAGACTCGGCCTCGCGCTCACGCTGTTCAATCACCGAGGGTGGATCAAGACAGCGGACTAGACCGAGGTCGGTGCGGTTAATGTAGGAATCAATATAGCCCGCCAAGTTGACAGGATTTAGGCTGCGAGCAAGTTGAGTGTAAAAGGCAACTAGATCGTGATTGTCCGCTAGACCCTAGGGCAGACGAGGGGAGGAGGGTGCCACAGATAGTAGATTGATTATGACAGCTTTACTATGCGAGCACTTTTACTCTCGCATGGTTCAAATTGTAAAAAAGTGCCATACAGCTTCGCTACTAGTTTTCTGGACGTTAATTGGAGCTTTCAGAACAAAGCAATGCTATTGTGCCTTGTTAGGTTGCTAAGCTTGGGAATTCAGTTTGACTTGTAAGTGTTCTCAGTGGAATGTGTACAAGAATGTTCCCGACTTTTTGCTACGGAAGGCGCACGAGTCAGACGGGGGCTTGATTTTATAGCCACGATAACAGATGTTGTCACGGCAGCACTAGGCGCAGTAACCAACCCACACGTTCTCCGTCGGTCCAGTCCAGTCCCGCCCAGAGGAGACATTGGAAATAAAGATGTCATCCACATTTCATGCAGTAGCTGTGGTGACGCTTTGTAGTGAGGCGTTTGAGACATGTAAACGTTTCAAAGACAGCCACAGCAGTCATTGCTATGAGCATCCAATTCGGCGCCTGGTGCTCCTAGCCAAAAACGCCTGGGTATTGAATGCGCAACATGCCTTGCAACGAAATAACACAAATGATATCCTACCGCAGCAACAGTGGACACAGATATTCACGAAAATCTGAACTCTCAAAGGGGTAACATGCGCTGGGAATCAAAGCAGCTTCTCACCTTCGACCGGCCCAGAGGTTGAACGCTGGCATGCGGAGGTGATAAGGTGTTTAGACAGGGAAGGTAGAGATTTTCTGGACCGCATCATCACAGGTAAAGAAACAGAAACAAGCCCCAACGCAGTAGACAAGTTAACGCTTTTTGCTCTCCTCGAACTTTGCCTATCTTCCTTATGAAGTCCAAAAGCTCCCAGTTGATTTACACACCTCTATGCGCCGTCTCTTTGGGGAATAAGTGACTCTAGACCTTTGAAGCATTCGAATAACCAAACAAAAAGGCAATGGAAAGTAACGCACAAATCCGAACCAATGAGCTTCAAGTTGGCTGAGGAGGTTATCAGTGAAGAAACCACGCTGCAGATTGGGCAAATCAGACCAGCGATTGCGGAACCACTCGTAGTAACCGTGAGTTGTTCCATTCGGGTTGAGCAGAAACAGAGCAAGTACATTCTCCGGGTGATGGAGCTACAGATGACACATTGAAGGTGGGACTCAATTTAAAATGTGTCCGTGAGCACGTTGGTGACTGTAAAATGAGGGCCAACTCACCGCAAAACGGGCCAGAATGTTGGAGCCGGCACCCATGCCGAAACCGATAAAGTATTTTATTCTAAAGGAGAGTTATTTTTGTATTGAGGGAGAGAGAACTCACTTAAAGTAGTCCACAACTGAGGTTAGCATTTCGGCCAGCTCGTCCATTCTAGGGTACTGACTGAAAAAAAAAGAATTGAAGGGGATTTAACTGTGTCATCAGAAAGGTGAAGCAACAACAGAACGGCGCCAGATCTAAGCAAAATGAAACAGCTTTGGCATGCATACACAACCGCTAACCTGGTGGTCACAGAAGGGATGCTATCGTCTGCAACACTGTAACAAACGATTACGATTAGACATGGTACTACTGATGCCCGGAGTAGGTAGCTCGAATCAGATAAGCAGGATTGCATGCATGCAGATTTGGCCTATTTGTAATTCTTACTTCTGATAGGCAGACTGTCGCCCAAAAAGGCTCTCCTCACTCGTGGTGAAAATGTTCGTCTCCTCATTTGGGCGAAGAAGAGATGTCTGACACTCTACTGGGCTGCAGAAGTGACGGTTTTAAGAGGGTAAATTAACAACTACGAATTACAGAACGGTAAATAGCAGGACACACAACAAGAACGCAAAGCAGAACACGGAAAGTGTTGAAAACGAGGCTGGTGAAATGCCATTAACAAGGCGGTTTCATAAAGTTCACAAACGAGGAATGGCGACTCCCCAAGTAGATAAACAACTGTACGGTGCCGACAGACCTTCCTCTTATGTTTATGCTTAAAAAATGAACTATTAACTCCAGACTGCGCACCTACACATGAGTCAGCGACTAACATACCAATGTTTGTACATACAAATCCCACTCAGTCATGCAATGAGTGTAATGACCGAAATTTCATGCGGAAATTGTATCCAAGATCGCATTCCCTTGTAATTTGACTATTCCAATGCATCCTCAGAGTAATGAATAGTGGTAAACCTCTTGACTCGGTACACCTGTGAGGGCTTTCATCAACACAGCCCAGCCGGATGATACACCTGACTGTTTTTCCAAAATGTGCTCACCGCGGAACATCATCCATGACTTGAAGCAACGCCTCCAAACTAAGTTCCTTTGGAACAGCTCGAGAGGGGAGAGAGGTTTCATCGAAGTCTACGAATTACACCTCTCCCACTTGTGATCGTGTCGCCACAATAGACTTCCTTGCAGAAGTAAAAGACCTCACTGAGTGCTGCGACTCTACGTAAGTAATCCATGGAGTCCATATTCCCTCTTCCATTCAACACATAATATTACCTCTTCTATACTAACCTCGCAAATCAACCGAGTATGGTACGGGATGATTCAAATCACGCTGTGGGTAATCAAACGGTCGGAAACCACACTCCCCATTTGGAATCCGAAGCAGCACGGATGAGCCAACACTCACTGTCCCCCCTACCTCCCTCCAAGGGTTGCTGATGCAAAAACAACCAGGACAGTGAACATCTACAAGACTTACTGTCACACAACCTTGGAGCACCAGATGACAAAATGAAGCCTCCTCCATTATTCGGTCAGAGTGCATCAATCCATATCAAATGTTAGTGAACTGTGGTGTGGTGTAGTGAGGTGAGATGAGATGATAACCTGCCTTTCAGACACTTGGCAGTCTACTTCTTATCAATCAATTGCACCAAAAGTCAGCAAAGTCAGTGAGATAGCGAATACACTAAACCTCGCTCACAATTTCGCTGTAATCGAGGTGAATCAGATCAACCCAGGTCTGTCTCCCACTCGTTGCATAATCATGACTAGATTAAAGGTGTGTGCCAAAAAGACGTAAAGCCTATCAGCACCATGCAATCCGCAACCTGAGTTGACACCTACACGAAGGACTTCACGTTTACCACAAACCACCCCTCTATCTGCAGTCCTACAGTAATTCCGTAAAGTAAGAAATGTCAAAGGAGATGCCAAATCACACCTCTAATGTGAGGAGAAAAGAAAAAACGGCAAATTAGGGTCCCTCATTAAGGAAAGTGAGTTCCCATGATTGGTTCAAAGGTTGGAAATTAGCCTGCGTTACCACTTGAGAGACATCTGAATAATCCATTAAGAGTGGAGGCAGTACACCTCGTGGATTACCTACGTGAACGTTTGCCACTTTAGCATGTTCGCTTTCAGGACCTCACTACATGATGCTTCAAACTGATTAAGCACCTCACCCCTTTGAGACCACCACTGACTACCTGTCCTCCCGTCACTCCTTCATTTGTGACACGTGATCTCCTTCGACAGGACACGGCCTCCACACTGAACTGTGCCAGATGTCACCCATCGGCGGTCATCACTTAGCCTCATCAAATCCTGCTTCTAAATTATTATTGTGTTTGCACAAAAGAACTTGCATACCTGAGCAGTTAAGCGAAGCATCCCACTGTCAGCTGCAGCTTTTAAACAATGCCGTCACGTGACCTACCTCTTTTACCCTCTTTCATTGTTATGCTGTTAACCTGAGACATAACATTGTGTAACTTTTCAGAATGCTACAAGCACAGAGATGGGCTGTGACACTGAAATTGAGACAGTCACTATTTTTTTCTTCACTTTTCCTCAATGCAAATTACATCGCTTTTCCCATCTACCACTTCATATAGGACATTTGATCTTACCAATTCGATAGGTGACATTGACATCCCCAATCCTGCCTAGGTTGGAGCGCTCTGAACATCAGCAATGAATTGGAGACCTTCATAACCTAATAACGCGTAGTTGGAAGTGATGTGGGAACCTATCGAACAAGCTGAAGTGGGGTGTGAGTGTGCTGGGTTTGTCTATGTCCATACAGGTGGACCATCGACACCGAATAAATCATGAAACAAGAATAGGCAACTCCCGTCTACGATATGTACGTATCGGTTTTTGCTCTCCCTCTTCCTATCCCTTGTCCTGGGCCAAGTATACACAATTAACCACCGAGTAATTTATGAAACTATTTGAGCAACCCACCCCCTTGAGACTACCATTGACTACCTGTCCTCCCATCGCTCCTTCATTTGTGGCATGTGATCTCCTTCCACAAGACATGGCCTCCACACTGAACTGTGCCAGATGTCACTTATCGGTAGTCATCACTTAGCCTCATCAAATTCTGCTTCTAAATTATGGTGCTGATGTTTGCGCAGTAGAACTTGCATACTTGAAAGTGGACATCACCATGTCAAGTGTAAGTGACATAGGGACTTTTTCGCCTAGTAATTAGCAACCTATTTCCAACTATATTTTGCTTAAAAGTAACAAAAATAGCAAGAAATTGACATCTGGCTGTTCACCACTTGACCTCTTCAGATGAATCCAGTCAATTAGCAATTGGCATGAATCCAAAATTACATATACGCAAGTAGACGCACCCTAATAACCCATTTGACACAAAATAAAGGATGAGTTATGTAACCATTCCTTGGTCTATAGTACATATTTCTATCCGATTACGGTGCAATGGCATCGTCTAGCCTTCATCTGACCCATTCAGAGAGACTGATAGCTTTCAACACACTTTTCATTAGAAGAATGTTTCACATCTCTTCTTAATTCGCTTCAGGAAACAACCGACTAAGTACCATTTGGCTTAAAGTACGACTTAGGAGAAATATTCGCAAGTAGCTTTAACCTCGAGTGCTAAATAGCGTATTAAAGTGGACGAATAGACGGAAGTGGCTACACGACTTCCGCTCCTCTTTCCTCCAACATCCATTTTAATAAAAATAGGAAAAAATCCTGCGCCACCCTCATAGAAGTTCAGTGTTCGATTTGAAAATGTGAATTCCAAAATGGCAAAAGTTGATCACGGGTACGGTTTAAGCTAATGCAAACATAAGTACAACAGTTGATTGTGCCCATAAGAAGATGTAGGAACCAGTCCTCCAAAGAAATGTTAATTGAGCACTGGTGAACGCATGAATGCAGACAGAAAAGACTGAGATCCGCATGAAACAAATGCAAACAAACAGCGATTCGCGCCACTCAGTCGTACTACAAAATCAAGTTCCCCTCCCTTCGATACAAATTGCGTACAGAATTCGTTTATATCTTCAAAATAGGCTGATAACCTTTAAACATGGCTTTTCGTGTGAGAGATACAAACACAGTCATTTATGACTACATATCTTGATTTCACAGTTAGTGTAAATGAATCCAGTCACGTTGTTATAGGGTATGGCATTGCGTAACACGCCAAGTTCGCAAAAAGCCATAGAATCCCATAGACCAACATAACGATGTTGTTAGTCGACAGAGAGAATTCGAAAATGCGTACAAAATAAACGATATTGCTTCATCAATTCTCCTAATTCCTATCAATGCTATAAAGCCTTACCCCATTGGCTAAAAGTGCACGAATACCAAAAGCCAAACTAGAAAAAATCCAAGTCGAAGATATTCAAGCAAATTTGCATCGCCTCTGCATTTTGAATATGATGTAACCTCCACGCATAGGTATGAAACGGCATCGAAAAGATATAAGCAAAGAACTCATGCGTACACCAAAGCAATGACCAGAGCCTCCACAACAAACAAAGAGCCGTAGCCATGCAGACGTACCCAGTGCGCCAACGAAAAACGTTTCTGATGAAACCGAGGCTCTCTCCCCCCACTTGACTAACAAAGGAATTTCTGCATTTACGGGCGGCTTGAAGTCAACATTCATCACAGAATAACAAATAGAAGGAATCGAAACAGAAGGGGAAAAAATTACTCACTTAACTGTAAGTGCCTCAGCCCCTTCATGATGACCCGGAGCACAGACATGGTAGATTGTAAAATGACGCGAAATCACCCGCATCTCAGGGTAGGAGAAAAAGCCCAAGAATGACGTGTCTGGTGATAAAAAGAGGAAATCCACTAGACATGATTCTCCAACTCTGGTAGCAGTAATGAGTCAAACTTACAATTTGTCCCGATATCGTGGTATGTTAAAATAGCAGATTTGGAATTCGAGGGTTGTCGATATACACGGATAGGAATCCCACTAGAAGTAGTGATTTCGTATTCCTGCACAAAAAAAATAAGTTAACAATCTGGAAAAAAGTTTAGTAATAAGAAAAATTCACCAAGGTGGTTACTTCAAGAACGCCAGAGTATTCATGGGAAAGGATGGCGTGACCACTACTTGTGTTATCGTCAAGCGGAACACCAACGAATTCGACATTTGGGAGCTCCACCGATTTGGGGACTTGAGACATTTCCATCTAGTTAGAAGAATCAACTTTAGGTTAAATAAGTGCAAAACACAGAGGAGGCAATAAAGTGCTAATTAGAGTTCTGAAAGTCACCCCACCCCCAAACTTCATAAGATAATTCGCAGGTAAGATAACGAAGAGCATGGTAGAAATGCTTTAACTTAACAACAAACATTTTCAACCCCTAATAAATTTAAAAGGCAAATAAAGTGGATATGAACGACTAAATACACGTTTCAGTACCCCTTAGCAGCTTTAGTTCAGTTGACGAGTTCAGAAAACGCCCTCAACTATTGGGACCTTGGCGAAGTTATATAAAGTCTTCTCACACCTAACGGACCTGATATTTTAGCAATGGTTTTAAATTTTTCAGCCTGATTTATGCAAAAACAAGTGCTTGTGCTTGAAAAAATTGCTATTTCGCTGGCAAAAACATCATTTTATGTTCAAAATGTTGATACATTACTTTACTTTGCTTAAGATTATGTGGTATGAGAATTGAATACACTTTATTTAATAATAGTTGCAAAAGTTAGATATCTAACTAGTATCTATTACATGGCTGGAAAGTGAGCATTTTAATCTATGATCTATACATTTAACCTATACTATAAACTTCAGCAACGTATAATATTTTAAGCCTTATTTCCCCCAAAATACCCATTTACACCACGAAATTTGAAAGTAGAATTAGGATTAATTAAATGGCACTTATTTAACAATTAGACTATGGTTCTAGAGGTAAATGGACTTTGGAATGGGCATACTGCGATATGAATCGCTTTATTAATAGCCACGTGCAGCTCTCCACAGCTTGCCAAAAGAGCCATGAAATCAAAAGCAGACAAGTATTTTGTTGAAATGTCTTCTGGTAGAGCTTTCTTGCAATTCTACGTCCTGTTTTTATTTCTTGATACTGCTTTCTATGAAATAGCTCCGTCGCATGATTGAAAGCTTTACAGTTTTGACCGTAAGTAATAAACTTGAACGCAACTTAGTCTATTTAGTGTACATATAAAGCGGGTATTCTACAATTTGTCCAGTTGATTCAACCAACCTTGACCTTATTTGTTTATCAATACCGCTCACTATGAACGGCTGAACAACTGGGAAAATGTGTATACCAAATTTTATTTTCGGTAATTTGTTTTAAAAATTACACCTAGTTGGCTTACTTTCTTCTTGTATATCTGTGTCTGGACAACCTTGTTCTTTGCCACATATTTACAGGAAAACACTGTACAGCATTGAAAATGGCAAGGAGACAACTACACAAATAAAAGCCACTGAACTCTACCAAGACATTGATAGACTCAACGGTACTTGCCACCAAATTCTCTTAACAACAACAGTTGAAGCCAACAAATCGGATTCCATTCATGTTATATATAAGAACAGGTAAATGAAAGGCACTTTCTAGTATTTTAGGACAAACGATTGTTACTTCTGTTATGAACTTATAGCCCGTAGCGAAAATGTTATTCAATATCGAAAGAGTAACCAATTAGACTCTTGTGTTATCAAAGTCGTTTAGGTCAATGTCAACCTATTTTTAAGGGGCGAAATATTTCCGAGATCTGTAATCTGATATCCGGTACTGAACTTGAAACCGGCTTCATTAATTCCCGAGAGCAGTACTCCGATTTTAACTGCAAAAGCATAATTGAGGGCATTTACTCCTTTGAATATCGAATCGTTGGTAGTACAGGTGTGTGTCGTAGCCCGAACAGCATTTTGAAGGCCTGTCAACGTCAGGGCTCTCCATTGCGCGATAACTCAGTGTACGAGCAGACGTTTGGTTTCTGTCCCAACTTTTTCGAGACCTCGGTCTTAGAGGAGCCGAACATTGTATATGGAAAGGCTAATATCTGGCGGTGCTACGCACGATGGGTGGCTGACGATGGCACCGTCTGGGCCGCGGTGGAATACGACACGAACATGCCGAAGTTCAAATACCGCTGCCTCACCACTCGCATTGATCAGCAAAATCGACGTGACATTATTCAATGGGGTAATCACTCAAGGTTGTTTATTGAGTATTTAAATAGGTTTCTCAACGTTGAAGGGAACAGAACGTTTTACTTACTTAGGTTCCTTTTTCAATTAATGGGGCTTCATAATTGTACATTATTGTTGTACTTAGCCAGTTCTGGGTTTGAGTCGATCATCTTTTTTGGTGTCTTCATGCAAAGTTCTAGTCGATACAAAGTTTTGAACTCTCGTGTATCTGCAAGAAAGACTGAAGGCTGCCTTGAATGTCCGGCTTATGAGGACTCCAGACTTGAGGTGGGCGCTTTTGTACTGATTTAAAATGCACCACCCACTGATCCTCCGGTTTTAATTTAATTCAGAAAGTTTTACGCTTAGACTCTCACAGCCTCTTGCAATTTTGATAGCCAATTGCAGACGCAAATGCCGCTAGATATTTGCTAAAACCTCAACGAAAGCTCTTGGTAGTTTTGGTCTGTTCAAAGGCCTCGGTGGCAGTCGGAATAATGGTCCGATAAGTAAACAATAGCAGCAACACAAAGCGATTGAGCTGTCAACAGTAGTAGAAGTTCAAAAGCATGATCGAATGCAATATGACACTTAGTGACAACCAAGTAGTAGATCTAATTGCAGAAGATGGTGAGGTAACTATAAATTATGAAGGTTGAAGCATTCAGGACACCTTCAGTCCATTTATTGCAGCTCGAGGGCCTTTATGGCACAAATCTGGTAAAAGGGGGGATCCTACACTGTCTTTTTACTTTAATTTGAAAGCCTTAAATCCGAAGGGCTTCCAGTGAAATACACGCCTTGGTGGATTTTTTAGCACTAGTTTCATTTTTCTTCCTCCCTTTACCGATCTGGAAAGCCGTTATTTGGTCCTCATCCCCCCAACATTCACATGATTTGACACGTTTGACATTTTCTGCCCTTCTTTTCTCCGAATTAACCAACGACCTCGCCTCATCGATAGATGTTAACGAAGTAGGGCAACGAGATGGCTACTTTGTTTTGCGCATCTCTTGGTCCCCTGGCTCAGCTAAATGTGGCAACGTGCCAACTCTAGCTGCACCTGAGGTGAGAAACCTCACGACTGTTTGTTCATTACACTCTTCCTGATCGTCACTGATCATGAGGCCTTAAAATTCCTCCATAATCTTTATTTGTCATTGGTAAAATCTTTCCCCACAATGGTTCCACGATGGATTGTTTCATTGCCTGGTCATCTGTTATGAAATTCAACTCTACAGTGTCAAGTTCACTCAGTATATCGATTGTCCGTCTCGACATGCTCCAGCTCAAGAGGTCACTACCTCATACTGCCCCCTTCCACAGCTAGTCCTTATTTCAGGAGATATTCTACTTTGCAGCACATGGAGATATTGCTTAGCTCCTATTAAACCAAAGATTTGGTGCACTTTGAGAGGAACTGTTGGTTAACCCTGATGAGATAATAACACCTTACATCTTCTCAGAATAAGAGCAAAGCAATTTCGTATCGAACGATAGGCAAGTCCCGACTGCTGTGTTGCTCGAAATAGATGAGTTCCCGCCGTAATTATTCGACGTTCAATCACTACAGCTTCATCAAGTGCTGTAGAAAAGATTTGGAACTGAGCTAGACTCATCTTGCAAAGTAGCATATTTCAACTCATATCCATTAAATTTAACCAATGCTGGATGTACGAGGATTTGAAATACGTGCAAGGTAGTACAGGGTTCAATAGAGAGCACCGCGCCGATAAACGGACGCAGATCTATGTCAGAAGTGGGTAATTGCATGAATTTAAAAGATCTCTTTTCCTCAAGTTAAAAAATCAAGTCATTGAAGCAAGGCATACAGATAATTGAACGAACTCGGTCTCGTAGGCCACGTCACCCTGTCGAGCCTCACTATAATGGGGCCACTTTGCATTGTGGATGCTGTCATGCACCAATTAACTCCTGCTATCTGGATTCGTTCAACCACTGGTACCGAAGAGGAAGTCCGACACAGTGTTGGCGCGTACAGTGCTTTCGTTCGGCTTAGCTGGCGATAACTTTCAGCCACTTTGCACCGCTGTAGATTCCTTAATGTTCGACGATTATATCGTTTAAGGGCACTGTGCCAATTTCATAGCATTCATTCTGCCGTCGGGGGCGTGAAGTTCAATGTCAAAAGTTCTGCTGATTGCCCATCAAGGGACTAATGTATCGTTGACTTTGACAAAAGTTTCCGGAATCATTGAGAGGCAGAAAAGGATCCCAAAAATTGTCATCAACGCTCTAATCGCAGTAAACGAAGCTGTGGTCACGACTTTACCGGTCCAACCGATGGCACCTTTTATCGCATTATGATGGAGGCCTTTTCAAGGTGACCAAAGATAACACCGGTATTGCCCCCCTATGGTTGCCAAGATACTAAAAGTGATGCACCAGATCTCCAGCCAAGGCGGACTCCTAGAGACGTTGACCGCAGACAGGAGAGACCAGTCCATTTTGCGCCTATGCACTATCGCCCACTTTCTCTCCAACTTTTATCCTCACTCCAATGGGCAAGTAGAACGGCTTGATGGCACATTTCAACAAATCCTATTAAAGTCACGAGGAGAGGAAGTGGCTACCAATATCCTTTAGCTTCCAATTAACTTATCAGGCAACTCTGAACGATCCCGTCCGAAATCACCGATCATCGGCTGGTTGATGCAGTGGATCGGACTGGTGTGACATACGTAGATTGTTTCACACCTCAAGGTAGCCATAGAGCATCGAAATCACAAGGAATAAGGAAAGATTTTATGAGGCAATCCATGCCAGCGTCACAAAAGTCACCTTTTAATGTGGGAATTACCATTAGGAAGGCTTTTGAAAAGGTGTCTTCCATTGGTGGCACCTCATGATTGCCACCCCAGAACGTCCCCCTTTTTGTTGTACATTCCTACAGGGAGTTCTAAACTGTTCCTCTTTCGTCTCATAGGTATGACAGTGGATGCGGACTGCAAGAATTTGAAGAACTACTTTACTGCGCCGATTCGTTTAATACTGGAGCCTGCATTTGACCCTGTCACTCAGCTGGTGGAGATGCAACCCACCTGTAAACTGCCCACCAACTACAGCGGAAATTGGTTCTATCCAAGCGAGTACCAGACCTCAGTAAGTAGCTAGGATTCCGCGTTTCCACTTATTTTCGCTTCTGTTTTCATTGGCAGCTCCCGGTTTCGGTGGTTCTTACAAGACTCCCTCCACTTCTAATCCTTAAAAAGCTTCTAGATCCAAGAGTTTTCCAGGGGTTGGTGTCATCATTGTTAAACATCAGTTCTTATGCGAAGCCATCGACGAATAAAGTGTTTGGCAGGATGAAGGAATGGTTAACCAATGGACTTATTGTATTTTAGGTACAAATAAACGCGACGCACATTTACATGAGGCGAAAGAGAGACGACTACACATTCGAGGACATATATTTTATATGTCGTCAGCAACAACTTTCCCGCTATCTCATGGCCGTCGTGACTCGCGGTCAATGGTGGGTCGCACTTCTTTTGCATCTGCCAAAACGTATCCAACCCACTCGCTGTTTTGTTTAAAAAATGTGTATTTATTAATTTTAAGTAACCTATGCTTTATGAAAATTTCAGTGAAATTGACTTCATGTGTTTCGAGTTAATCCCGCGTCATCATAACATCGCGCGATTTCGCATGGGACGCCCCTTTCCCCTGGAACCATTGGTGAAGGACTCTCTCGGCGAATCAGAGTATATGTTGCGGATTTATAAGGAGGCATGTCATTGGAGCAGTTTCACGCTCAATTATATCGAATGGACTTACGAGTATTTCGTCCTTGATCCACCCGTCCCTATTAACTGTCCCATCCAAGGAAAGTACAAGTTCATCCAGACAGGTCAGGAGGCGGAGAAGTATGTCTTTAAGATGCCCAATGGAATGACTCCAAGACCGTGGCTTCAGGTCTTATGCTACCATTACTGGCAAACCAATATCGAGGCCTGTTTGAACGACCCGAAAATCCTCAAGCTGGATGTACAAAAGTGCTGGCGTCTTGATTTTGCTGGAAGACCCATCTCAGAATACGACGTCACCGATAACTATATTGCATGCGTAGGATTCTGGATGGAGGATACCAAATCCTATCTCATTACCTATGATCGTGAAGATCCAGTGAGTTCAACATATTCCTTTTAAATAGATATTTGTCAATAAAAGGATTTAACTTAGTATTCCTTCGTTGAAGGTTTCAAACAGATTCCGTTGTTGGGTCTACCAGCGTCTCTCGATGCGCTCTTTTGCGATGTCACGCAGTCTCGGCAACCGATGCGGAAAGATGCAGACAGCTGAATCGTCCCTGCCTGAAGAAGGCGCCTCCTTACGCCTGGAGTTGATGGAGGATGAGTATGAGTTTGACGTGTGCCCCATGAACTACGATGATGGACGAAATCCCTATGTCAATCCTGCTGTACTAAATGTCTATGCTCATGCAATCACCGTCACGCCACCATCATTGGTCATCATTTTTGGGCTGATTTTAATTGAGACGGTGTGAGAATCGGTAAAAATGCATCTTTTTGTGTTCCTTATCCTGATTCTTTCTGACTGTATCATATTTTCTCAAACAGCCTTTGGAGTGGGAGTTTTACTAGGGATGGAAAGACTCGTCAAAATAGGCACCTACCGACGAAATCACACTGATCCAAGCGAACTGTCAGTTTGTTTGCAGGTGTTGGCGAATTGGCTCTTCAGATTATTTAGGCCAGATCGGTAAGTGAACCTCAAGTACAAAAGGATCAACAACCGCAAATGCTAAACCTAGAGGTCATGGACACATAGAATTAGGCAAAAGGTTTTCAAGGGAGTTTACATCGTGATAACACTGAGTCATAGGTGTTTAAAACGTTGTAGTATTTTCATAGTCTCACCTTCTAGCTTCGGAATTCGATACCTGGGCGGAGATTTGTCGCAAACAGCCATTGCATACTATCGGCACGGGGGTTTGTCTCCCCCTTGGCGATGGATGAGGTTCTCTCGGTCACATGATGCCGCCAATCTGCTTGCTCGCTCGCTCTCTAAGAGGCCGCTTCAAACCACCACGGATCACAGTAGCTTCCCAATTCTCAGTCCACGGTGGAGTGTGGCTAGCACTCCTTTAAGGCGGCCCTTTATCGTCTTCTTTCAACGATAGGCTGAGGTATGTTGTTGTAGCCAGAAGTTTCGCCAACAGCTCTTGCGCCTCAAAAAACGTCTAATTAGGCATTCTTGCTTCAACAATTATTTGCATATCCGGGTAGTCGCCAGTCTGTACGTCTTTGCCAAAGTAATATTTTTGCAGAAGGCCCTCCCTTGAAGTCATCTCGATCAGTCAGGAAGAGGGACAAACCCTTGCACTTCTCAATGGATCCCAATGGGGAAACAACTCCAGCATCTAAAAATCGCTTGCCCGGGGCTTCAATACGTTGTTTCACCATTCCCAGCGGTCATCAACCGTCTAATGTCGCACAAGCCACGAATCTCTCCCACGGAAACTGATTCGACCAGTGATTAGTGGTTGCGATAAGGGACTTATCGATTGGGCGATAAATCGATAACTACCAGAATTAATTTGTCGAGTAACTCTTAAGCCAAGTTTGTCAAATTTCCTACTCATCCAAATGCTATTTCACTTGAAGAGCCTTTTTAAAAAAGTTTTTTACTTGCCCTTTTTCCTCATTATTAATATAAATAAATTTCACCCTAAATTCTTTTTGCTAAACTGCATGCCTGACCCTTGTGGTCAGTGACCTTTTGGCTAGCTCCATCATGATCTTATTGTCACGCATAACCTATTTCCACGTGTTATGAAATTTTTGATAACAAAAGATTGTAAAAATGAGCTCTTCAAAAAGGCGAGAAGTAAAACAACTTTGAGAAGAAACACAAAACACCTCGTCCAGTATGCTTGTTTCTGAACGATCTCTCGATAGGAAATGTTGCATTTTAAGGCTGATTTGAAGAACGTAGGCATTAAAAAAAACCTGTTAGAAAAAAATGTTAAGCGGGCAACATTTAAGACGATTTTGGTACATGAGAGAAGAGAGGATGGAAATGGTTTACTGAGCCCAGCAGAGTACCGAAATTCTTGCCGAAAATCGAATGCTCAGTACTCGTCATAGTTAAAATCGCCGATTGGTCTATCATAGATTAATCGTCTGTGGAAACAGAAAATTTACCAAACAAAACCAAAACACTGGCAAGTCAAGTTCATAAACTAATTCAGATTTAATTTACCATGAACTTAGAAAACCAGCGTGTGGAGGTAATTTGAGAAATGTGAACTAAAAGTACTGGATTTAAGTATTCTTAAAACCAGAGATAAAAAAGGGCTAACAATACAACGACAAAGCCCTTGCAGATCAATCTGGCGGGCATCGTTTCTCATGACCACAAGCTCGCATGTCGGTGCGTACGTACTAGTGTGCACCCATGCTCGCTTGCTCACTAGCCAATCGCTCACGCGAAAAGTGCTCGCACTAGGTGACGCACTCTCAACAATTATGGTCGCCTCAGTTAATTGGTTAACCGCGATTGCCATATATGGCTAATGAGAAGGTTTATATAAAACGGGTTTTCATGCAGTAGGCACCTTCGTTCGTGCCATCCCTTCTCGGTGTTTCGTTCTCGCAATGAGTGACGGTGAGGAAATTGCTGCTCTTGTCGTTGACAATGGATCTGGCATGTGCAAAGCCGGTTTTGCTGGTGATGACGCTCCCCGCGCCGTCTTTCCCTCTATTGTTGGTCGTCCGAGGCATCAGGTATGTTGCCTTCGGGTTACTTCGTTTTGTTTGCTATAAACAAGTTTTACGTTACTTCGTAATCCATTCCAGGGAGTGATGGTTGGTATGGGACAAAAGGACAGCTATGTGGGTGATGAGGCCCAGTCAAAGAGAGGCATCCTTACTTTGAAGTACCCTATTGAGCACGGTATTGTGACGAATTGGGACGACATGGAGAAGATCTGGCACCACACTTTTTACAACGAGCTGCGTGTGGCGCCCGAGGAGCATCCTGTTCTCCTCACTGAGGCCCCACTCAATCCTAAAGCCAATCGCGAGAAGATGACCCAGATCATGTTTGAGACGTTCAACTGCCCGGCTATGTATGTGGCCATCCAGGCGGTGCTGTCGCTGTACGCCTCTGGTCGCACTACGGGTATCGTCTTGGACTCTGGTGACGGTGTCACCCACACTGTGCCCATCTATGAGGGGTACGCACTTCCCCATGCCATTCTGCGTCTCGATTTAGCTGGTCGTGATCTGACTGACTACCTCATGAAGATCTTGACTGAGCGAGGTTACTCGTTCACCACCACTGCTGAGCGCGAAATAGTGCGTGACATTAAGGAGAAGCTCTGCTATGTGGCTCTCGATTTTGAGCAGGAGATGGCCACCGCTGCCTCCAGCTCTTCCTTGGAGAAGTCCTATGAGCTTCCTGACGGTCAAGTCATCACCATTGGGAATGAGCGTTTCCGTTGCCCTGAGGCTCTGTACCAACCTAGCTTCTTGGGCATGGAGGCGGTCGGTATCCATGAGACTACCTTCAATTCAATCATGAAGTGCGACGTGGACATCAGGAAAGACCTGTATGCCAACACCGTACTCTCTGGTGGTTCCACCATGTATCCGGGTATCGCCGATCGTATGCAGAAGGAGATCACCGCCCTTGCTCCGAGCACCATGAAGATCAAGATCGTTGCTCCTCCGGAGCGCAAGTACTCTGTCTGGATTGGTGGCTCCATTCTTGCCTCACTGTCCACCTTCCAGCAGATGTGGATCTCGAAGCAGGAGTACGACGAGTCCGGCCCTAGCATTGTTCATCGTAAATGCTTCTAAGTCCTCCCCCGCTTTCCCGCATTTCGTTTTTACTTCTGACTATCAATACACTGTCCCCACGTCTTGGTCAGTCTGTTTTGCTGTTAGGGTGTCTGTTCCCCTTAGGGCACTAGCTCAAGTCTTAGGTTGTGGGAAGGGGTTAGTTTGGGTAGATACGTCTGCGTTCTGCCCGTTGTTCGTGTTCTGGTGAGCTTGGGAGTGCGAGTCTGGTGCTTTCCTCTCTGGGGGGAGGGTTCTATCTGGCCTTTGGTTCGCCCAGAGTGATTGTTGTGGAATCCCGTGACTCCCGAGTCGGGGTGCAGATTGCTCATTACTGGCTCTCATGAGTAGGAATCACGAGGGGGCTTGATTTTGGTGCGAGTCTCTGGGTGGGTGTACACGGGCCGCGCGCGGGATCGCGGTACCATGTCCTCTACGGAAAGATCTACCTACACCCCTCACGAAAGTGAACCCCTCACTTTATCCGATCCCAAAAACTATAGGTGGACAAGTCGACATCCGTGGGCCTTAGCTCCTACAACCCGTCTCACTCAAAGCTGCTGGGGTGCGATATCTGTACACAGAATCCCTCGATGATTGAAAGTATATCGCGAGGTTGTGTGCGTGCAGGTTTGTGACTCAAACCGTGTAAACAAAGCAGCCTTGTGTGCACACATGCAAGGCATAGCCATATATGGCCGCTTCGCACCTTGACAACTGTCAACGCCGTAACTCCTGCCTCACTGCATGACTCCCTTCTAACAAAATCTAGCCACTGGTAAGTTGGAGTGCGCTGCAGGGATGCGTGAACTTTGAAACAGGCTAAATTGTAACTTTGCTCTTTGATGGTGCCGTTTTTTTTGTCAAATAATTGATTTGCACTCCACGTAGCAATTTGGCACCACTCAAACCCTTCAATAGTGTTGACAAATGACGAAGACACGGGATGGGCTAATTACTAAGAGAGAGGGTCGGAGCAATCAATAACCTGGATTATCTAAGCTTCCAAGGGATCAAGTCGAACCGAAATCTGCCCGATAGGCGACCACAGAATGCCGGCGAAAATCGTCCAACCGTCCGTGGGAAAGGCTAGACGCACAGACCTCCCGTGTTCACAGCCAAGTCCTCCACCTCAGAAGCGACGCACGTGACTCAAGTTACACTACTACTCGACGAAACCGTGTCACTATCCCGACAAGGCGAGGAGACCACCCGCATGATCGGGGTTGGGGCGGCTACATGAAATTGTGCCAGAGGGGTGATGGGCTTTGTCCGTTTACTTGAATGGGCGGAGTTGCGAGGAGATGAATCACCCACCTGCACATGGACTCACCCACGCACGCATGCACGCACGTAGGCATTCATACAGATGCCGACACAGTGACCAATACAAAATTAATGGCCATATATGGCAAGATGCTCGTGTACGCGTACGCAGTGCGTGCACACACCTCCGCACGTGCGACTAACTATTGGTTGATTGGTTGGATGGTTGTCTCCCTGCTGAATGCTAATGCGTAGAGCCAGGACCATCCGTACCTTGCCAATGTTGTGGCAATTTTGCAACTCCTTTTCTGTCGTTGTTATTGTTTTAATCCTTGTTTTAATTCATTAGAGGGTGGTAGAGATGGAGTTGTTGCTACCATCCGTAAACAAAGCACATGATAAAAAGTTACTTACATAAACAAACAAGGTGAAAGGGTTTGAAGGATGTTCGCTTGTGTTGCCTAAAAATTTGCGCCTAGAACGTTTTTCACAGTAGCATGAGGCCGCTCTGCTCACTCCGTCATGGCTATCAGTCTCCCGGTCCTGAGGTGGCTCTACAATGGAGCTCCCTCCACCCGCTGGCGAACAAGAGTGACCGATTTCAGTGATGTTTCAAAGAAGCCTAGCTTTAAAGTAGATTGTCAGTTATCATGGGTTATGGGCTAGGAAAATTTCAGAAGAGAAGTACACTCGTTGTGGATCATCGCCCCGAGTCGAGTAACGCCCCCGAGTCAATGCCTTCGACGGCGCGAGTTAACTGAAGCGCAGCGGTGATTAGCACAGAATGCTGGCCGATAGTTGGTGAATCATTGTTTGTTCTACTACGCGGAACAGTACCAACACGAAAACCGCCTGTTTACAGATAAGTTAACGCATTTTTTGTTCATCAGTGTTACACACACGACAGTCCACTTTTCCTACCCAAGCGCACATGTGGGGCATCCATCGGGACAAGGCTGATGCCCTGGCCCCAAAACACCCACGGGGTGACACCTGTGTTTACACCGAATCTTGTCGTAAAGGCATTGATGGAGGCGTAGGGGATGAAATGAAGGGAGAGCGTTCTCGGCCTGAGGAGCGGGAGTAGGGGAGCCAGTGGGACCAGAGGAGCACGTTCGACGTCACACTGAAGTAATAAACAATCTGGCCTACAGTAGTCGCTCTCCCCTTGATATCCTAGTAGCCCCTAGTGGACCGCAGCGACTATTCTACTGAGAGCCTCGAGAAGGAAGATGGAAGCAGTCTACAGTTTGCTGGCGTACATTCACTCCAAATGACTCCATCACGAGACTAAATCAGCAAAACTCCAGAAAACAAAGAAACCAAGCGAACTTCTCACCTAGTATAACTATCGACGCATCTAAAAGGTTACAAAGCCACCAGCTCATCAACCTTCTCGATTAGCCTTAATAAATGCGGGGACGATCGGAGACTATCCAACTGACCTTGACCTTAACATGTTCTACGCGTCGATCACGGTCCTCTGACCTAGCAACCCCTCGTCTAGCCCATAAACATCAGCACAAAAGTTCATGATTGCACTTAATTGTTAATGGCAAAACCAATTAGGAAAACAAGCCATAGTTGTCAATTGTCACAATATCGGTGGTAAAAATCAGAGGCGCAATATTCTTGTTACTTAAAGGCTATCAGGAAAGGTTAATACTTTACAGAAGCGGTCGTTCAGACACAGGTTTTGCTACTTTGGCTTTTTGAAGCTGCTTCCGAAATTCCTCCTTGCGTTCACTAAGACGCACAAAGTAGACCAGTGTCATGAGGAAGGCCAATAGGGAGATGAAGTCGGCAGCAATGAGAAAGTAAAAACTCTGTCGAGGATCAGATAGGACCAGGTTAAATTCAGCTATGGAGTTAGAGGACAGAGGGGAGGGGGCGTGGTGCACTTCATCGGTGTTCGATGGAACCGCAGATTTATCAACTTCGGCGCTGATTCCAAGGAGCCGATTCGCTTGAAGCATGCGGATCAGGGTTTCGTCACCGTGATTATGGACGCCTTCGATTTCCGACTCCGCCAGACTGAGACCAACTAGCAAACCAATGACTACAAGGGGAAAATGTTCATGAACTGGAAGGAAATTAGCAATGAGGAAATTAAATGGGAAGTGAAAAGCCAAAAACGGATGTGCTTTCCTCACAAATTCACCAGTGGGTGGATTTAAAATGTTTGAAGGTGGGTGACGGATGGAGAGAGGGCTTCGTGGGTCCAGACGGGAGTATTACACGGGAGAACGAGAAAACACCTCTGGAACTGGTGAATGGAAACAGAAATATAAGACATGGAATGCTAGATTTATTAGAAAAGGCATATGCCCAAAAAGCGGGGATTCTTTAACACCTTAAAATTGTCGCAGAAGAACTGACCAACCTATCCACCGGTACTGCTGCCACTTCTCCGATTGAAAATATTCCACCTCACAATTTGATCCTTTAAAATCCAGCCCACTTCTTTGCATCACAACATGACGCGACCCCAGATATCAAAAAATGACAGAGAAGAAGTGGCACATATTCGTGGTGCCGAACTCCAGCAGGAAAGATGGAGGCGTCACACACACTTGACAGGACGATGTCCATTGTCAGGTATGCAAGTTCTGTTGTGCAAACACAATAATAATTTAGAAGCAGGATTTGATGAGGCTAAGTGATGACCGCCGATGGGTGACATCTGGCACAGTTCAGTGTGGAGGCCGTGTCCTGTCGAAGGAGATCACGTGTCACAAATGAAGGAGTGACGGGAGGACAGGTAGTCAGTGGTGGTCTCAAAGGGGTGAGGTGCTCAATCAGTTTGAAGCATCATGTAGTGAGGTCCTGAAAGCGAACATGCTAAAGTGGCAAACGTTCACGTAGGTAATCCACGAGGTGTACTGCCTCCACTCTTAATGGATTATTCAGATGTCTCTCAAGTGGTAACGCAGGCTAATTTCCAACCTTTGAACCAATCATGGGAACTCACTTTCCTTAATGAGGGACCCTAATTTGCCGTTTTTTCTTTTCTCCTCACATTAGAGGTGTGATTTGGCATCTCCTCTGACTTTTAACACTCTTTAAGGAACCCCTGGAAGGAGGGAGAGAGGGAGGGAGGACAATCTATAGAACAGTGAGTGTCGGTGCATTCATGATGCTTCATATTTCGAAATGGGGAGAGTGTGCGGTTTCCGACCGTTTGATTACCCGCATCGTGATTTGAACCATCCCGCATGATACTCGGCTGATTTGCGAGGCAAAAGTGTAGAAGAGGTGGCATTATAGGTTGGATGGAAGAGGGGATTATGGGATGCATGGATTACTTGACTTAGCATCACGTAACGTGGAGTTGCAGCAATCAGTGAGGTCTTTTGCTTCTACAAGGAAGTCTATTGCGAAGACACGATCACAAGTAGGGGTGGTGTAACTAGTAGACTTCAATGAAACTCCCTTAGCATCATCCATCTACTCCACACACCCATCCGATCGCATATCTATTCGACTACCTTTGAGTGCTTCACCACGGTAATTACCTCGTTACGGCCAGTTCTACTACACTACTTTCCTCCAAGTGCCATCCAAGGAATTTGACGACAACCTTTTCCAGGTTAGTAAACGAATTCAAGTCAGTTCGTGAAGCGACCAAATTAGCATTACTTCCAGAATCACTTCCATCTGCCTCATTCAACCGAGATTCCATGATACGGAGAATTGAAATGCCATGAAAGTAGCAAAGCACATACAAAGGGTGGCGGTCTAATAGACTGACTGACTGGCTGACTAACGCAAATCCATGCCTTTAACAAGTACCCTCCCTACAGGTTACAAAAAGTCACTTCAGAGAGCTCAATACCGAGTATCTGCGCCTAGTTTTGAATGCACCCACACAGTTTACCTGTCCCATAAATGTGGAATACCCCACACCCGAGTCCACACAAATATTATCATCTGTTAAACCTTAACTTTTAAGAAGCTGTAGAATTTGTCCACTATAGAGTAAAACCATAATTTGATTCCAGTGGGGATCAGGACCTGAATTGGGATGGAGTTCTCAACGTGCAGTTTGTAAGAATCCCCTTCTTCCTCATACAGCCTGTTTCACCGTGGTTGATCCTCCAATTCTTCCAATTTGAATTATGGCGGCAATTCCTAACCTCATCTGTTTCCTCAGTAAATATGCAAAACTTTAAGTGTGATTCAAGATGAATTGGCACTTTCGAGGAAATGTGGGATGGTAGACCTTCCATCTCTCACTATGCTCAAACATTCAATCTTCCAGACGTTCACCTAATCTTTCAACCACTCATCTCCTTGACCATCCAGAAATCCATCCAACCGACTACTCATTCGCCTGCTCGTTCAACCATCAAACCGCCTAGCCATCCATCTATTCCTCCAAAAAGTTGGATTCTAGCTAAAACACAGACCATGCAGGAATTCGTGAAGTCTGTAGCAATAGTACTCGATCAGCTTTTTCAAATATTTATTGAATTATCATCCAGAAATTAAAACGTTCCCGTAACTTCACTAAACGACGGTTTTTCGGGCATTTCTTGGTACAAGTTTAATACTTGAGGTAATCATTCTAATTCAAATCGTGTCGCAGCATAAAAAGACGCGTCAACTACACAAAACGAACTCGACGTCTACTTTAAAAAGCCAATTCAGGTTCTGATCAGGAGCCATCCATGAACTCCACGATTCACCAAATAAGCCAAACCTACCGGTGATAAGACGAAAAAGGACTTCCACCGCAACAGTTCCCCATGGTTTGTCCTCTCGGCCACGATAACAACAGAGAAGGGCCACGTGGATAATGAGAGCAAGGAGGCCGAAGATTATACCAATCACGGAGGCAGCTTTTGCAGTTAACCAACTCGGCTCTGAAAGGAGGGGTTAGAATCGAGTTAGTCGAGGCACAGGCGATGAGTTTACAGAACGTTCACCAATCACGCTCCAGGGGGGATGATGCTTCCTCATCACCAAAAGACAGCACAGCGTATGGTAACTTGAACATGAACCTCCTCTAACCAACTTTTGACATGAAAGAAAGGCACCTATCGTAAAGTGATAAATCTGAAGAGAGTCAAAGCAGGGAAACCGGTGTCTCGACAATTCATCCCAACGTTAAGTTTCGGACCATATAGAGCAGTGGGGGTGGTGGGAGTTTAATCAATCCCCTGGGGGGAAAAAACCTCTATAAAGAAGATAGAAGCAAGAAACGTTACTACAACAACGGGATGATGGCCCTGATAAAAGATTGGACAAGCCTCGACTTATGTAATGAATTGGAAGGTAGGGGCAAAAACGGAAAAGTCTTCAAGCAAAATAAGTTATCTGCATACAGATTGGAAAGACAATTTCAGTCTCATATCTTATAATACCTTAAAGGGTAAATTAGATGGTAGTCATCAATAGGTTCTCCTCCAAGATTTCAGAGGCTAATCAACCGCAAAAGCCTCTCAGATGTTTTATTCGACTATGGAAATAAAGCACTTGTACTACCGAACTGACGAGTTCAACCACTGCTCCAAAACTAGAGATACGTGGTCATCCCCACGTTGAAAATACTACATCAACTTTACCGCTTTAGCCTTAAACCGCTGGTTTGCGCCACGATTTATTGCAATCACAATTAACATAACTTGATGATAAAAATGAAGTGTATTTGTGATGTTAGGAAGTGATGAAAACAGTGCGGCAATTAAATAGGGTCAAAACATACCATCAAGAACAGGCGGATACGCCAGTGCCTCAACCACTGGGTTAGCTTCGTTGCCCGTAATCTCGCCCCTAACGTCAAAGAGGCCTACATGAATGGAGATGTGATGGAAGAGGGGCGGATGGCGATTATCATAGATAAAGATGTCGAAGAGACGACTAGACGAGACACCAGCCAGAGCCACGACAACACCAATGAGGAGAATAACCGCACTGGCGTGATAACAGCCAATGGCGCAGCGCCTTGGACGCTTCCTTTGGTGTCGCAGACGCGGTTCACCGTTGCCCATGGCACCACCGGCATTCGTGTTAACGCGTCCGTCCTTTGCCATACGGAGAAATCTGTCAGGGCGGGGAATAGCAAGGTATGACTCGCCCGGCGACGTTAACAGCGCCAGCAGTGAACTGCACCTACGAGCCTGCACGTACCCACGCACCGAAGCGCACATCGATCACGATCAGCCAGCAAGCTGATTGGCTAGTGCGGCAGTGTGCGATGCTGATTGGGTGGAGTCACTGGGTATGTTTCATCGCGCTTGGACGAATTATGGGATTTGGCCATTGTGATGGGAAGGTGTGGAGGTGATTCCTAGGGCCTAGAATTTGGTGGGCGTAACTTTGACTAATCCATTTCTAAGAAGTTTTACCTACATTTAAGCTTGACAAAGTAACTTGTAATTTGGTAAGTACATGATCGAACTGATGCAGCGGTTCGTCCTGGAAACCTCGTTTGCCTATTGCGGTTACGCCATGCTATACGTATTGAATACCTAACCGTGCGGGATTAAGTTGAAGGGTCTCGATTTAGTGGTGCTTAAACTTGGTTGTGGAAGGATTGGTTGGGTTAACTATCTTGGGGAACGTTGAGTGGGTCTTAAGTGGTGGCGTCCAAACGACAGCGGGGTTCAACGTCTTTAACTGTGCATGCTAAATAAATCGAGCTAGCAACTAAAGGACTCCTCTAAAGTTTAAAGTTATTTCTTGACTTTCTGCTTGGAAATGCTAGCTACGACGCTTTCAGTCTGGTTAAGAGCATACATCCCACAACAAAAGACATCCTTGAACTCATATAAGTAGCAGTTTATAAACCACTAGGGAAAAGAGATAACAGTAGTACCTTGATGTAGCTTTTCGGTCCGCTTTTGACCATGGGGCACTTAGGCTTGTGTAGATTGTACTTCCGCTCTCCGGCATGGCCTCCAGGTCATGCCAGCGGTCACAGGTCTTCCGTACGTCTGTAATATGTCTTCTACCAAGCTGCTATAAATTCCTACGATTTCAAGACGGAATCAGGATGCTAAGCTATTTTTTTCATCCGTGCTAACACAAAATATTGCAATAGGCCTGTTGCTTAACTCTCAGTTTTGGTGAAGGGGTAACTTTAATTATCCGCCATTGTACCCTTGCCGGGTGTGCTGGCATCCGGTCCAATCTATTAGTCCACATCACTTCTATACCTTGAATATGTGTGATCTGCCCTAGTACTATACATTCTTTTCTCTTCGTGGAAGTCTTGTGACCCAATATTCTATTGCAATGATTATTTGCAGATAGGATAGTAGCAGTTCAGTGCGGAAGAAAGTAAGACGACATTCTTAGAAAAGGAGAAGTGCCATAATAAGTCAAGACATAAAAGTGTGTCTTCAAAAGTTGCATTCCATTACATCATTTATATTTTCGGTAGCCCACTCGAAACTTGTTGAATTGTATAGGCGGCATAGGACAAACATGTTTAGTAGAGCAACTTCTCTTGCATTGGGCGTAAGACAATGATGAGTATATTATTTGCTTTGGCAAATGAATTTACAGGTAACATACTCGAATATTTGTTTGAAAACCGCGTTGTCGCGCGTTACTTGGGTCGGTATGTCAGCGAGTTTCCGTGGTTTGCTCACGCGTCTGCTTAGTCGGGTACGAATTACAAATGTTAGTTGTGGACTGTTTTTGTATTTTTGCCGTATTTGCGACGGTAGTAGATATAGGTGTCAGACGTGGCTTTTTGTTCCATTTCAAAAGCTCATGTAGTTTGCCAGAACCCTCTCCAGCATTGATTCTAAATGGGGTTGCTTTTCCTCTCTCACTGTTATGCTTTGTAAGCAGAATTTACGCCCACTTTATTAAGGTGGGTTTGTTTTTCAGTTTAAGATATGGCTGTTGTGGTGCTTTCATTTATTAATGACCAACGGAATACATATCCTATTTAATACGATTTTGTTTTCCATGAAATGCTTAAAATGAAACAATCATTTTTGATGTGCCAAAGGTTTTCTTGGGCACTAAGTACATGCATGAGCACTGAGTATTGAATAGGAAGTATTTTCTTACCACCTCTCGTATCCAGTTTCATCTGGTATTTTTAAACTGTTTACGCTTTAAATTTTGTTTTTACTTTATAAAGGGAATTTTTATGAGAGAGTCAGGCTCGTACATTGGTTATGAATTAAGTAGTTATAAGGTGGTAGTGTCCCCGTTTTTTGTATGAAGAAATACCAGTGTTATCCTGTTTGCAAGCCTTTTACTTCCTTGGATGCTGTCATTAACTAAGTGACAATGAAATTCAACGAAATGCAGGTTTTTGCTTGCTATGCAGTTATTTAAGTCGCCTATATCTAGTTGTCAGCCACTGGGAGAGTCGTTTTTTACTACGTTTTGATGGGACCATAAGGACCTCTCCTTTTTAGTTATGCATGTGCATATATTATAGATTTTGGGATTTTTAACTATTTATGGTGGGCAGGTTTGCGCTTTTTATCTCTGATTTCAGGAACTAACTTCTCCACTTTTTTATCGCAAAACATTGGGTAAACTGTTTGCATCCCCAAATTACATTAACACAGAGTTCGCCGATTTTGAAGTTGGAATACACATTTCCATTACCCCAGATATTATCGCAGTTCTTGGAAATTCCTCTTCTTGCTACAAGAGTTTTGTCTGAGTCCTCTCAGAAGTTTTCATAATCATGAACAGAACTGCTTCATAAGTGGACTATTAACAGATACTACTTGAATCTAACCCTATAGTATCTAGATAGTGGCCTTTGTTTGATACAGTGTCTACGCTTTTCCCTCTTACCTATAGTACCAGTCAACAATCCCGACGGTGAGGCATTTGTGTCTGATCGCTGGAGCAACAGCTGTGGGTGCGGTGGCGCTGGCGGTACCGGTCTTCGCCACTGAGTTAATCGTACATCCTACGAAGCTGAACTGGCCGCATCGGGGCATGCTATCCTCCCACGATCATGCCTCTTTACGGCGAGGTTATCAGGTTTACAAGGAGGTGTGCTCTGCTTGTCACAGCATGAAATTCCTTGCGTACCGCCAACTCGTAGATCATGTTCTCACTGAGGAGGAGGCCAAGGCCGAGTGTGCTGAGGTAAGACCTCTCGGAAGATCCGGAACCATCTCAAACCTGTGTTGTTTGTGTAAGGTATTTTAGTAGTCACAAACAGGTAGAGATTAACTTTGAGAATCTGGTATATTGCTTGAAATGTCGCTTTTAGGTCGTATAACACAGTGTTTTTCCACTTTTAAACCAATTTAGGATATTAGCATTTAGCTTTTAACACCTAAGCCTGTGTTTTCCCTAAAAGTTGTACATTCCAGGTCTATGGTCGTACTTTTTTCGCCTTTCCAATTCAGCTTTTGTACTTTTGAGTAGATGTAGAGCATTTCTGGATTTCCAAACCATCTAGTCTGCATGGTGCCCTTTCTCTTGTAGTATGGTCTTTGCATATTTAAAAATCACAATTTCCATCTTTTTAAATGATACGGAGTTTGACAGAATTTTGTGAAAGGAAAAGACTGAGGCAGGATCTGGCTTTTCAAAAAACTACTCGTTAGAGGTCTTAACGTTGCGTTCCCTTTCCTTTACAATGGCCCTAATTTGTTGAATTCGAATTTTCATTGGTATCAAAGCACTGCTCTTAAAATATCTCGTCAACCCAAAGATCATGATTTTCCCCCATTTGAAATGAATTTGGCAAGTGCAAGACACCTTTTGTCCCTAAATATAATCCTTTGAGATGTTACGATTGCATTCTCGGCTACATTTGGCTGAATCTGGAGCTTGTCAAGTAAATTTTATGCAGAGGTAGGACTTGATTACCTTTTTTTTATTTGTGATCGTTTCTCCTACTAAACTAGCTTGTAGAACTGTCTTTAATATTTGAGTTGAGGTCTCGTGAGGTCCAAATGCGGATTTGTGAAAGTATTTATGCTAATATGTTTATTGGGGAGGTAGCTAGACTTTTCAGGACCTCCGACTAGTCGTCTTTAGGTGTGGAAACGAACATTAGTCTCACCGAGGCCGTTTTGAATGGTGGAAGGGCTTGTTTCTCCAAAAGTATTATTTTGGGGCTTTCGAGATTACTCACCACCAACTTTCACTAAAACGAGCCCCTAGTGTGAATAGATACTTCTGTGCATTGGCAGACTGTTGTAGCCTGTTAAAAGGCTTTATAATTCCACGGAAAAGTTCCACTCTCGGAGAGATTAGGTTGAAGGGCGATGAAAATTCAGGTCTGAACTATTTAAAAACTAAACTTGACGAGAATTTAATCCTTGCCTCATCGCGACGTTGTTAATGCAAATAGTCAAGTTCTGCCCTCCTGATTGGTTCAAGTCAAACCAGTAGTCAGAAAATTTTTTGCCTCAGGAGGTATTACAGCTTGTATCAGTAATACACCTCTACGGTATAAAATTAGATTTTAAGAATAATATAACGATATAAACCTCCCGCAATACAATTTTCTAGCCTAGATCAGGCTCTACTTCTGATAGAGCATAATTTACCTCCCACTACATTTGGCTAAAAGTGGGAGAAAAATTTGACCTTGGACTGCCAAAAGTTGGAACGTGCATCTTGAGTTTAACGATAGGAAAGTCTATCTACGACAGCTTAGCTTCTTGCCAGACGTACATGCGATCCGAACCGTCTGAAAGATGGTATCTGAGAGGATTTTAATTTGGCCTCGCTAGGATGCCTTTTTCAGTACCATAAAAGTAAGCTATTGCAGTCTTTATTTGGCTTAACGGATTTAGGAGCCTAAACGAGGCAAATTCACCAGAAACTCATTGGAAGGAGCAAATAACGAAACTTAACTGCCCATGGGATTGTATTAGGCAACCAGACAAGTCTTTGCGATTTTTACAATAGAAAAAATAATTAGTTGAAACAGTTGCCATACTAGTTTATCATCCAATGAAACACAAGCTTGCTACGAATTTCACTTATAAATTCCGATTTGTCTCTGTAACCAAATAACCTAATCTAGCTCTTTCCACCACATTTTCTATGTCAGTTCCTTTTTTCACCTGCCTGTTCTATACTCTTTCGAATCTGATTGCGTAATTATCTAGTACTGCTGCTAAGAGAAGCTGGTTATCATTATTAGGAGCTTGAAGAAATCCGAGGGGAGTGCGAAAGATGGAAATCAGGTTGAGACTATATCTACCCAATCTGAGGTGCATCTCCATTTCCTCTCTCCTTCCTTAGGACAAGCTGATAAGGTGGCCACTTTTAAAGAGCATTTTTCATTAGAAGTAGGGAATGGGAAAGAGAGGAAGGGTTTGCTTTTGGGTAAGTGTTTTTACTAAAGGTGGCAGACTTATGCAACTCGTCCATTTCCAAGCAGTATCACCGAGGTGAACCATATCGATGCGTCTTTACAACGGAACACATGACATGAAATCCCCTCCAAATGTGCGAGTTGAACAACCACTGTTGAATTAGGCGGTTTACTCGTGATGTCGGGTGATTGCTGTACCTCCCAAAGAAGACGAGGAAAATATGGCATGAACCATGTTTGCTTCGCTTCTGATGTACACCTAATGAGTCTTCTTCGAGTTAGCTTTCACTCGTACACTATGCATTGTCTTTGAGAGCAAATAGCTAAACGCAGCTCCAACTGCTTCCATTTCTATCTTTCCTTCACTTTCTATTGGGAGTTAGGAGAAGTACTACCGGGTGAATACGGAGGGTGAAAATGGGGATGAGGTGATATCGCTCTCAAGTTTAATTCTTCTTACGGGCGTGCTGACTCGTATGAAGCGCCGTTTATTACATGAACAAGAATAGGGCTTTCTTCTTACTGGTAGACGAGTCCTTACCGTTTCTGAGGGAAAATTGTTTCTATATAAAGCTACCTCACGGGGTGGCTTCTTACATTTCATAGGGCCAGTGTTTTGTCAAATAAAGGTTTATTTCTTTCTAATCAAAGCACTTTGGTGATATTTACTTTTCTCCGTCAATCGGATCTAAATTGTGGGCTTCTTTCATTAATGATTAGGCTGTACATACTTAGGCAAGGCCTAATTTACCTTAAAATATTCCCATTTTGCCAGTTCAGAGGCGCATTTCTTCCCATTCCATGAATTGAAATGGAGTGCGATTTCTCATAGTTTGTTTACCTTAATAATTTCAAGTGCTTCTGTGCTGTTTGAATGGAGCATAAAGAAGACAAGAGATATGTTTTTTTCTAAGGCCATGGTTCTTAGAGACTTCAAAATCGGGCAAACAATTTCAGGATTGGAACAAGGTGAGACTGAATCAAAGTTTTGGACAGAGAAGGCTTGACGCATCACACATTTTTATCGTATAGGTGAATAAAGCTTTAGGATTTTTTGCACCACGAAAAACTATGCCTTGCGTAGGCATGTTTCGCCTGAAATTCTTTTTCAACCACCGATTTTAGGGAGTTCAGGGTTGCAGGATTCCCTTTCAAACCACTTCGGGGGATTGAAAATTTAATGTCTTGAAGGGAAAATGAAGCCCCACTACGACGAGAATTAATTTATCCAAAGGTGTTGTATTTTGGGTGGTATTTACCTCCAAATGTTTAAAGTGTTTATTTTTCTCCTCTCCTCTGCGCAGCTCTTTTACAACCTTTAGTCACGGTTTAACTTCCTTTCAAGTGGGTCTAGAGTGCCGCCTAAGTTAATGTCATTGAAGAATGTTGTTTTTCGTAGCTTTGAACTGTCAATATAGCCCAAAGTGTTGAGGATTTAACAGTTGTGTCCCGTTGGTAAAATATTACCTTTGAGGAGTCGCGGTCTGTGACTCCTCTATTGTCCTTTAAACGGTACTAACTTACCAAAAGTAACTTCTCTAGCGCTAAGATCAGAGCTTATTTCTACATAACATGTCATATTTTATGCATTAAAGACGGCTTTTATTACTCCTATTAGTCCTGAATCATCTTTTCAGGACACCAAAACGTGGTTGTTTTCTTTTTCAGACTAATCTGAAGCCCAGTTGCGTGTGAAATAATTTTACTGACCCAAGTTGCCACTACATTTCAGAAATTACACTTGGCTGAAAATTCATTAGTCTATTATTGTTAGTATGCATAGCTAGGGCCACTCCTCAGGGGGTGGGGTAACAAGCTCGGGGGTTTAACAGCTAATGTGACTGTGCTACTTTGCCTTACAGATCCTAGTGACTGACGGGCCGGACGACGAAGGCAAGATGTTTCAACGTCCAGGTCGGCTGACGGACCTACTGCCTTCGCCCTACCCCAACCGCGAGGCCGCGCAATTCGCCAACAACGGAGCCTTTCCACCCGACCTCACCTTTATTGCCAAAGCACGTCATGGCCTTGAGGACTACGTCTTTCATCTGCTCACTGGTACGTGTAATCCTTTGTCTGCTTGCTCACCTCCTCGTCGATTTTGTCGGTTTCAAGTTGTCTATCGGATTCTGATTCATTGTTGAACCGGTTGAAATTGGTTTAGAAATTTGTCTGTATTAGCCTCCTCCAATATATCCAGACCCACCCACTTTGAATTCATCAATGCATCCCATATTCCACCCCTGTGTTTGTCCATTCAACCATTTGCTTAGGTCTTTTGTCATCATCTCAATTGTAGAGGCGTTTTCACCACCTTATTTTATTATGTCTTCGCCTTAAGTTAGTTTAAAATACGCTAAATTAAACTACCTTATCATGTTTTCTACAGATTTTACCGCTACTGTTTTTGGTCTTGGGACTCATTTTCTTTCCCTTAGAGACGGCTCTGATTAAGACGCTTGGGAGACGATAATGAGCTGTTTTGGTGGAAATCCGAATGGTTCAAGAGAGCCATTGAAAACACTTTTTGTCTTGGGAACGAAGGGGTATTTGACCATCTCACAGTCTTGTGCTTTTACTCTCCGGCAAGTTGATCGCTTCCCCAGTTTAGTACAGGACTATCATCCTCGAGGCAGGGATGGTCGCTACACTTATTAAATTACGTCAAAACAGGAAGAAAAAATGTTCTCCTACACGCTCAATATTGTGAGCAGATGGCTTGTGTGCGCATGCCGGCAGCACAAATTTACCTCGTCGGTTTGCGTGCTCGTTATTGCTAATAAGGGTCTCTAAGAGCGTCGAGTTTGGCAGGTGTGAAGTGCTCCACACTATCTAGCTAGTTAAAACCACGAAAAAGTAACCTTAAACCTGACTGACGATTAAAGCCATTTATAGTTAAAGAAAGGCTCATTTTGTGCGTCGAGTCCGCGTAGGTCTTCATTCTTGGAGGCCTTATTTTCTTTGGTGCGCGATAACTAGCTGCCGACGGGAGCGTAGCCTCGGAGGCTTAGTCAGTTTTTCCTACAGTACATCGTCACAGGTGGTAAGTGTAGGAATTCGATTTCATTTTGGTATATTCTACCTCTTCTTTGGCTTGTAAGGGAAATAGATTCACAAAATTGCTGACGACAATTTTGCCTAGTTTTTGACTTCGATGCCTTTTTCTTCAATTGCCTATACCAGACGGTCGGAGTGCCCTCTGGGTACAGCCTTTGAGGGGATGTTGTGGTCGTAAAGCACCTCCTTTTAAGTCTCATTCTATAGCTCATACTTTGATGTTGAAAGGTGAAATGGGTGTTAGCAACATTAATAATCCATACCTTTTCCATCATGGATGAAAAAGAGTAAGGATTGCATTTGGGCACAGACGGTAGAACGTCATCTTAGCAACTCGATACGCTTAGTTTTTATGTCCACACATGCCGTTGATATTGACGACGTGCTGAGATGAAAGATAGATGAGCTTGGAAGACTATAGCTTTGCTGTTCTTCTCTTCTTGTTTATCCTCTGTTGCTTTTTCTTCCACGTATTCCATAGAGGTGCTCAATGTATTTTAAGTTGCTTGCCGACTGACTTACTGACTGAATTGCTAGATGGGTTTATTGTGAGGAGTGTTTTTTGTTCGTTGGTTGTTCCAGGATAATCAACTATGCCTGCTTTGAGTGTGTGTTTGTGTGTGGTGCGCGGAATTGTTTGGTAGAGGTTATTCCCTTGTTCAAGACCAAACATCGGTCACTACCGAGATTTATACTTGGTAGGATATAACTCAAAGATGTGCATGCAAGTGGTTATGTCTTGCGTTGATTTCCCAACCAGGATAATCGAGAGATAGGCTTCAAAGACAGTTGTCGCTAATGCTAAGAACCTATGCACAATCTGAACACGGTGTCTGTGTGCAACTCCCGCTGGCTGAAGTGTTCAGTCATGTGTGTAGCTCCCTTCTCAGTGAAAACATTCATCTTTTTTCCTGAAACAGTCAAAAGTTAATCATTAGTTGAGAGAAAAGTTTAGTCTTTATTATTGCAAGACTCCACACTTCATACGGCTTATCCTGCTTGTAGGAAGAATTGCACTTTGGATGAGATGGGGCGGAAGGTACCGCCTCCTCCCCATCCTCCGTATTTACCCAAGTGATAATTTCCATCCTGCCTTCAGCGCTACGCATTTACGAGCGTAGAATGTACTAGAATAGACAGTTGGTGGATGGAAGTGAGGCGAAAATGGAGCTGGTTAGGAATAGTTCTGGCTCCCGCGAATTTGCCCATTCGTCCCAGGTGCCTTTCCTCTGTCCTGACTGAGGGATTGTGTTACCTGGGAAAGGTAACAGGTATCGAGGATCCCCTACGGTGCTATCACTAATGTACATGGAGCGATTAAGGCCAACAGCAACTTCCAAATCTTCACGGGAATCATGTTTGTTTATCTGATATAGTCGCCCGCTTCTTTTACACACCTATCGCAGGCTTTAACTAACGCAGAAACCAGTGCCGGTACAGAAAGATTTTTCAGTATAATGGACGTCAGCCTGCTTCACTTCATCGTCAGTGCTGGCACTCAGCTCCTTGTGTTCACCATTCATGTGAAAAGCTTTGCCTATTATGTAATTTCCCAGTAAGTTATGCACCTCTCCCGAATCCACGAGAATGTGTTCCTTTTGCTAAGTGGAATGTTTCACAGTAGTCACTGTTGAAAGGTCTCCACCATCAAATTAAGTGTCCCTTTGGGGAGCGAGCGTCACCACTATCACCCTTCTGTGCCTAAAGTCTCTACACTGGTAAACATCCATGAGTTTTTGATTTTGCAAACGTGTTAACGTGAACTTACCATCTTGATTAACAGCGTCTTGGTTGAACTGGCCGACGACACACCGCCACGCTAGCGTTCAACCTTAAGATTCGGTATGAAAAATTGTGAGCCGATAAAGTGGGATGTTTGCTATTTATAAATTATCTAGCAATCATTCTGTTGCCTTGTCTTCAAAGATGGTTATAAGATATGGCTATCGCTCTTGTTGCTAGGCTATTGTGACCCACCGCCGGGCCGGGAGCTGGAGAAGGGTCAGTACTACAATCCCTACTTCCCAGGTGGCGCGCTGACCATGACACCACCGCTGTACGATGAGCAGGTGGAGTTCGCGGATGGGACGCCAGCCAGCGTCTCGCAGATGGCCAAGGACTTGGTGAGCTTTCTCACCTGGTCGTCAGATCGGAATCATGACAAGCGCAAGCGAGTTCTCTTCAAGGCAGTCATCGTAATGGTCATTGGAACCATTCTTGCTGGTGTGTACAAACGCAAGAAGTGGGCCAACATTCTGACCCGCAAAGTGGTCTATAAGAACCGCCCGATGCCGAAGGACCTCTAGGAGGCAAGTAATAGCTTGCTCCCTGCACTATTTATGCCTTTTTTTCTTCCACTCTGGAAGTTAGTTCATCCATCCTTCTTTTTTGGTTGGCGAATACGCCATTTTTTTAAATTCGTTCTAATCTAATTTTTAGGTCGGAGTTGACTTCCCACTTTACTCCTCATTTATCATCCCCTCGGGAGGTCAGTTCGGCGTTTTTCTTCCTCCCCGCTCCTCCAATTCACTTTTTTGATGAATGCATCATGTTTCTTCCAAATTGAGAAGCTGTTTTTCTTTTTTAATTAAAATAGTCGTCTGGAGGCAGCCTCCCCCTGCCCCTGCCCCCATGACTATTTAAGTAGTTGATAATGACTTCTTACACGTACTCCTTAATCACCTCCTCACACCTCTGTGCCTCTCTTGCCTAATATAAATGAACTTTGTAGTACGTTCCGGGCTGCTTTTCTTAATTTCAATTCGTGCGGTTCTTCGCAGTCTTGTAAAAGTTTGGTTCCTTCTCTTGCGCCCCCAGTCATCTTTGAAGCAGAGCTGGAGAGCATCTCTCCGATTTTAGATTTGTTTTTACCGTACACCCGGACAGGACGTCATAGTCTCAGGATCCACCAGCAAATTTCAAGTTTATTGATGAGGAGTTTCAATTAGTTGTGTTCGCTCGGTGTAAAAACACCTCAAAGTCGGTTTTTTTTTCTATGAAAATATCCCCGAACTCGGTGACAAGTCGACTTGAAGCATCCCCATCGCTATGACTAATCGGTAGGGCTCTACCAGTCCATCCACAATCAGACTTCAAACCCAAACATCTCAACGTCAATAACGTGGGAACCAGCGAAGGGAGAAACGCACGACCGGGTCGCCCTCCTTGCCCCTATTAATTGTTTGACAGAAAACCTTCAGACAGCAGGGTGACAGATCTAGCCTGTGTGTTAATTGACTGGCAGTCAATGACGAACTAAGGACCAATCTACCGAATGGATTTAGTCCTTTCTATGCGACTTGTCAATCTATCAGATGAACTTTAAGGTCCATCTAGTGGAGCAACCACTTAGGCCTGATCGTTTTACGCGTTTGGGGGGAGTCGAGGAAATCCTAACAGCGAGTCAAAGCATTTATTTTACACAACAAACTCAATTGTAAACCGCGTTGTTATGAGTCAGTTCGTAAAGTGTCTCTCAAGGAGGGTCTGCTCCCTCTCCCACCTGGCATGCGGTCAATTCCTGTGGCTGCGCATGGGGTCCAGGTGATACTCGTAGGCCAGCCAAAACTTCTCCGCAATCCGTGGAGGAAAGTTAAAATCAGAGTGGTACTCCTTCAGGAGCTCGAAAAAGTCCTCCTTTGTCGCGGATCGACACTCCAGATCATATATTGATTGGGCTAGACGTGAAAGACTGATGAAAATGCTAGTTTCTACACGCTAGATCCTGATTGGCCAAATTAGGAGTCGTGGAAATGCCCAATCAAGTGCTAGTCTTCTTCAGCAAATCTTACTGGATAAAGTTGTTAATTTATGGAATATAGTTTTTGAGGTATAAGAGATTCAAGAAGCCGCAAGACGTATATAATTATCAATAAGGTTGTCTAAATATTTTTTGACAATTTAAAGTCAAAAGCCCTAGATTGAATTCGGGGCCGTCAGATTTGGCTCCCCTATTTTTTTGTGAATCATTTCTAGGCTTCTTTATCCGCTCTTCAAAGCCTCAGCTGTATACGACCGGACGTGATGGGCGATTTTACGTACGTAGCGTATGAACATTTCTGAGCATTTCAATCCCCCTATCGAGGTTTGCCGTGAAAGAGATTCATCAAATGCCAGTGAAGGTGGGTCCGTGCTCTTGGTACACACCTGTTCAAAATACCTACCATATGACAGCGAGTTCGGAACAAGTTTTGCATACATATCCATCCCAAACTACTGGCTACTACTGTTTCCTTTGGCTGAAATCTAAGTGTCAAAAAAGGGTGCAGTAATTTGCTTATGAATATCGTTTCATGAAGATTTCCGTGAATGCAGCTTAAATGGTAAATAGTGAGATGAAACTGACCCAACTCTTCGTCAGCAATACCGATGAAGTCCTCCACGGTCTCAGCAAGTCTGCGAAGCAAGACCTCCTGACTTTGACTCAACTGAAACGAAAAGCACAAATTCATTCAGCTCTGACCTCTTCATTTCTCAATGCTAGAAATGTGGCAAACAAATAAGGATATGCGATGAGAGATGTGCGTCAGGGTGGGTACATTAATGAGGAGAACAAAGTAACGGTAAAGTGCCCAACAATGCTGATGATACACGCGCTGTCCCTAGATGACCCAACTTACCGCAGGGCGGCCATCGGAGGTCTGACATATCGCTGAAAGCTTGAAATGGAATTTGGATTTTAAAGCACCGACCATCGAGGATATTTCTAACCAAGTTAGGCCCGCATGTGTCGCCTCAAGAGGTGGCAAATAAAATGGCTGAGCACAGTTCATTTAACCTCACCTTTTCTTACAAATCATAATAGCATTTCGTCTTTTACGTATCGAATAACCGTCGAATTCCGAGACGCAATTCTCTCTGGCTAATGTGTTGATGGTGCCTCCCTATTGATAGATATCTTGCACCTATTTCCGATTGGTTAAAATGTATTTACTATAGCCAGAATACAGCTACGTCGAAAAGAGGACGTACGGCTTCCCTGATGTCAGCACCAGTGGTGGTGAATCGGATTGTCTGCTTTCCAGATGTGCCAGGATGTTTGTGCCGTTTGGATAATTCCGCTGAAAGAAATGTCTTAATATTTAATCATAAAACATTAAAATGAAAAAGGATGAATACGAACTTCTTCGGTCGAAACATTTTTTTCAGATTCCTGTGGATGCTGCTTATGCTGCTTAAACAAGTTTGTCGAAACCACTTATGTTAAAATCTGTTATATTCCGGGAGGAATTCGTGTCTTACAAAACGCTACTTATGTCATTGCTATTTCAAGTATGGACATCAGTAAATTCACTGCAAATACTTCCTCTACTTAATTAGTGTAAGTAGCGGATTGCGAGGTGCAGCACCACAAATGCACCGAATGTGCACAGCACTCTGGACCCGTACCATCGCAAGGCCCCGTTCCGCCTTTTAAACTCAATGATGGGCTATCTGACGTGAGGACACTCTACATTCTGCACAGTTGAACATATCCTTCACATCTTCTAATTAGATTACCAAACGTAGAAAATAACGCTACTTCTAAGCCTTTAAAACAACCGATGCATCACAAAAGAAGTATGCTTCAATCGAAACCGTGGGGAGTACTTGTCTAATCTAGCGATGACGTGCACTGCATAAAAATTCTACCATATTTGGATGCTGATTGTAATGAAGCCCAAATTTTGCCTGAAACCTTCCAGGCATTCGTAACATCAGGCAGCTTTAGAGGTGAATTTGAGTTCCATCACAGAGTGAAGTTGGCAATGATACGATTGAACTGTCAAAGAATAACGGCAAAAAATAGCAGTAGGGGTACTTAATATTAAAAATGCTGCACCAGCATCCGCCTGAGCAATCCCACTGTCTCCTCTCTCCAACTACTCGTGCCTCATTTTTTCTTCCGTTTTTGCAATTACACCCCGACCTCCCACTTTTCTCATGAAGCGATTCATGCAAAGATGTAAGCTAATCGCTAACTAAAGGGAAAATTTTCACATGCTAAAAAGCGGTGTAAAGATCACACAATTAAGCAGATGACTTTCCACTGATTCACCCAAATCCGTTGCCTTATTATCCATTTAGTTATTTACTGCCATGTGGGATCATTCAGGTCTCCCATGATTTGAGCTTCAAGGCATTGGCAAGGAGATCTGCTACTGTTAAGCTCTATTGCAGATTCAAAGATGCAAGTAAAGAGCGATGCAAACGCCATAAATAGAAGACATCAACTATGGGCGGTTGAATTAACAAAGACGCATTACAAAAGTGTTGGGGTTGTTGCCTTACAAGTTGTGGTAAAACGAGTACTAATCTGACTTACGTAATGGGCTTTTCTCAGGCGAAATGAGACGCAGTACAATTCTGCTATCGAGCGGAAGCCCCTTGAGGTACTTCACCACATCCATGTGACGCGAATTGATGAAGGAGCGTCCATTGATGCACTCGATGAGGTCTCCGGGGCAAATACCATCAGGGTATTGTTCCAGAAACTTCGCCACCACGCCATTGTTTGAAATGCGTTTCACAAAGACCCCACCGGCTTTATTGTCCGACACGGTTAGACCCAGTGCATCGGCAGACTTCAAGAGGCTCACTTCCTTCGTTTGGCCTCGTATGTGGGCGTAAATTACATGATTGAAGGATAACTGATTGCCTAGCAGCTTGTTCATATCGACCCGTGGCGTGTCCAATGTGCAGTACATGATCTACTGGGAATAAGAGAAGTAATAACTCAGTTCGCAGTATTCATTTGTCGAATGGTTACTCTATGTAGCTGATCTGTACTATAACCTCCCTTCCAAAGGCTTATTCTACGACCGGGATTCTAAGTTCTTCCTTCCATAGGGCATGGTATGCTAATTTTATTCAAGAAAATTGGATTCAAATTTTCGATAGATAAGAAGCTCATGCAAATCAAGTGACCTTGGTCCGCATAAGTCAATGGCTAACCACACAACCACTTTTCAATTATGCAAATATCGTGGTAACTTTGAAAACCACTAAAACAAAGCAAATGCTAAAAATTGGGTGTGAAATGTATGACGCAGGCAAGAACTCTGTTGCGCTTAAACACTGCTGAAATCCAACAGATTTCGTCACAAAAGTTTTACGATGACGCATTCGTACAAATAACAGCAAACTTGTTTTGTGAAAGTCTACTTAAATTAAAGGGTATTTCCGTTTTGTAGGGCTTACTTTTGGTCCATTTAAAAATCCACAAACAGAGAACTTAATAGTATAGTCGGTGAACCACTTGAATTCAGTTAGCGACTTCAAGTTGGGTCGACCGTAAAAATTGCCGAATGAGTCACAGTAATAAGAGATCACGTGGATTGAAAATACGAATTTTGCTGCCAAACTACATGCTCGAGATGCTGTGTTAGTTGAAAGTTCAGCCCACAGACCGACAAAATTAAGGTTTTGACCTAAAACCAGGAGTAATTTTAACTGGTGAGATGATTCCTCATGCTACCTACCAACTGCGCAAATAATGTTTGATAAAATAAGGTCAAGAAGTCAACTTTATTGGTGTAACTAGTTTATTGCACTACTTTGGGGTGACTAATAACATTTTTGTAAAGTTTCTGCTTTTTTGAGTACTCGAATGGAAATCTCACCTTTACGGTTTAGTTGGAAAGTAGAGAAATTCGGAATTTGATGTGTGAATGTCAGCACGTGTTCATGACTTTGTTAACTTTAAATCGGTAAGTCAAAGTATGGCATAATTTTAAAGCCCAAAATGGCCAAACTTCAGAGTAATTTGTGCGCTCTGCCTGCACTGAGTCTCCGCATTGGCAAATTTTAGACCATGTGGGTTTGTGTGTGCTTCAGCAAGAAATCCGCTACAATGAATTGCAACAAAATTACAGATTTTAGCGAAAAACAACCTCCACACTTTGATTGAAAGGGGAGGCAAACACTGAAGTCAAAGTACTCGCTTGATCACAGAAGCGAGAAATTAGTGGAATTTTAGGATAACATAAACATTTGCTTTTCTCTTTAGACTTCAAAATGGACGTTGTTCCCCTATTTTCAACAAATAACTCTTGTTTAAAACGATTTGGAGCCTGAGAAAAAGGGCGAGGGATTCTTCACCAAAAACATTTTACTCTTAATTAGCCCAAAAATTGCAAACTTTGGGTAATAAAAAGCCGTCATTCCACTACCAAATAGATGCGAAGGGGCAATATTACTAAAAGGCTCTATGCCAATATGTTTGTGTAATGTTTCCACAAGACTTCATGCAAGTTGTGCCAGAAAATGTCAAGTAGCTCATCAAAAAGGACGTTATTCTTTGAATCAGAGCATTTATGCTCTAATTAACAGGTTTAATAGGGAATTTGAAAGTTGGTGGACCAAGTTAAAAAATGAATGAGTCTTCAATGGCCAGTCTTCTAGGAATGCTGGCTCCACCAAGCTTCTCTAATCGAGTTTTTACGCTAATAGAAGGTAATAGAATAGCCTTTTTGAGTGAGAGGTATAAGGGAGAGAAAATCAGCCCAGAACATGACCTCTCAAACCATTTGAAAACAGATGGAGGAGTTTTCAAAGCTTCTCCACCTCTTTATGTCACAATTCAAGTTTTCCATTGAATAGCCCCTCCATTGACCGGCAGATGCAGAGCAGAGAGGCAATTCGAAAATTTTCGTTTAGTCGAATCGTGAGACTGGTACTTATTAATAAAGGCGATTCTTTGGGAAGTCATGTAAACAAATGAAGTTGAGAATTTCAAGAAAACGTGAATATGGGTGACTCACCTGCGAGACAGGGATGCTGAAGGTCTCTGCAATTCGTTGATAGAGCTCAGGGATGTTGGCAAAGCCCGAGATACGAACCTGGTTACTGCCATGAGCAAGTTCGCATGCAAAGGAGAAGGGCTGAACCCGAGCCGCCCCATCCATACCTACATCTTCGCTTCCCATCCCCATTCTATCATAATTTGTGCTACGGGGCACCATGGCCGGGTTGTGCACATATAACGACCCCGAGGCAGAGCTCTGCTCCGGGTTCATTTGAATGCTGAAGGGTTCCAGGCTTGGACGTGGCCTTCTTCGCTGTTGCAGATGAAATGGTGGTGTATGGTGACTACTGTAGTGATTTAGCGGGCTTGGATACATCCTACTAACACCTCTTATGTGTGTGTGTATGGGTGTAATAGACACGCAGAAATGAAGCACTCCTTCCTTGTCTTTTACGGATCCTTCACTCGTGGTTCACCTTGCACCTGGTTGGTCCTTGGTTAACCAATGGAGGTTTGGTACTCGGATTGCCAAACTGTGTGCTCATCGATACGTCTGTGTGTGCGTATGTATGTGCTGAAAAATGGGGTAAAGTAGGATGAAATGAAGGGTGCATGACTCGTGACAGTTGAGGCGATGCCATCAAAAGAGTCGACAAAGACGAGACGACACGAGGTGCTCTTATTGTGACATTTACTGACACCAGTGCCAAAACAGCTCCAAAGCAGGACAAAACTCCGGATATAAAGAAAATACTAGGGACGTATCTGTGATGTTGGGATCAAATATCTTCTCACACGAAAGAAATTTCAACGACTACTGTTTCTGGTTAGTGGGTGATATTTAAAGCCACGACTGTGTTGTGATGGTCAGCCTGCGAGGGTAACCAAAGGAAGTACCGGGAACGACGCTGACACAAAGTAAGGGATTATGCAGTGATTTGGTACTTTATTTGACTGTGTTATGGAGGGGTGAGAGCTTCAGTCGCAGCAGGTTGTGCCTTCTTTCTATGGCATGGCGTTAGGAGCAAGCAGCGTCTCGGCTCTTCTATGCGACAGTAATATACGCTATTTCATCCCACTTTGGCTTGATGCGGCAGCATCGAAAACCCGTGAATCTAAGCTAAAAACAAGCAGCAACTATACTTCAGACGAAAGTTCAGGCACCAAATTCCAGTAATTTAAAGAAATCGAATAGCTGCATTAATTTTTAAATGTTGTAACAAGAGTCATAACTTGTGTTTAGCACTAGGTTTTATGATCTTGTTGGGCTCGATTGATTAACAAAATGTGCCAACAAAAGTTATGCAAAAGTAGACGTAATGCCAGCATTCGGTGTTCCTTAGGCTTCAGATTAATAAAATCTTCAAATTTTGCTGTAGGTTTGGACTCTCAATTTGAGATATTTACTGCCGATATACACAATTGCTTTTAGTAGTGCGCATTTCTCCTAAAATAAAAAATGAAGTTACTATACAGGCTTATTTGTAATTAACGACTTACGCAACCTTTTCAAACCTGGTTTTTAATATCGCATAAAACCAGACATTGCCCCTGTCCGACCTTTGTTTAACTTATTCGATGGCAGTCTCAAGGTTGTCGCTGCCGTTTCGTCGCTCTTTGATATTTGTTGGGGATGCGGTATACTCCATTGGAGGACTCCTCCCGGGAAGAGGGTGCCCCTCGGTACTGTTGTGGTTCTTTGTGCAATCCCCGAAGTCATGTTCATCGTTATGGGATGCTGTTTTTTATCTGCCTTATGTCCTTTGGTAGCTATTATTGCTTCGACAATCCCGCCGCCTTACAAGACGCCTTTTTAATGGATCTCCATCTCACTATGACTCAGTTTATGAATCTATACGCATTTTACTCTTGGCCAAATGTCATTCTTAGCCTCGTTGGTGGTTTTTTTATCGATCGTGTCATTGGTATTCGCTGGGGCGCCATATTTTTTGCCTCCACCATTTTCGTTGGTCAATGCCTTTTTGCCCTGGGAGCTTTTGTTTCCAGCATCTATTTGATGTATTTCTCTCGACTTATCTACGGAATTGGCGGCGAGTCCTTGTCAGTGGCGCAAAATGCCTACGCTACCGCCTGGTACACCTCGAGTGAGTTAAATTTTGTCTTCGGGCTTTCTCTCAGCATGGCCCGAATCGGTTCCACCATCAATATGAACACAATGCGTCCGCTTTACAAAGCTCTCGGTTCAACTTTTCACATAACTGGCAGTGAGCAAATGGGTCTAACTTTGTTTGTCGCCTCAGTAACTTGCCTCTTTTCGATTGGATGCACGATTGCACTGGCATACTTTTATAAACGGTTAGTACTATTGCATTACAATAAGTGAAATCTCGGACGATGTTAATTTTGTCCTTTTTTAAAGGTACTTGAAGGCCCAATCCGCTGTTGCTATTCGACCTCCACAATCTCAGCCACCTTCGTACAATTCGATTGACGAGACACCACAACCCTCGGAGACAATTGTTCAGCCCACTGTTCAGGTGGAAGAGGAGGAGGATCGGATCAAATTGAGGGATATCCTTCACTTCCCTGCACCAATTTGGCTTATCTGCATCATCTGCGTCGCCTACTACGTGACTGTGTTCCCCTTCATCAGTCTTGGGCTGGTTTTCTTCAAGCGTAAGTGAAGCGTAAATTGCTTTTTAGTTTTACATTTGTGTTTTATGTGCCGGATTGATCATCTATTTTTACCTCCCAATCGGCCCGCAATACACGTTCTCATCCATCCACTAATCCACCTTTCCTCATGCACTTCCGGCTCATCCACCTACCTATCCCTGATTGATTTGTTCTTGGCTCATTAATCCATTCCAGACCCATTCATATATTTTTAATTAATCTGTCTCAGACCCATTTGTCCTTTTGTCCCTTCGAAGGCGTGGGTACTTTGAGGGTATCTGACGCCTAGTGCAGTTTTGTAGGACCTCATATTTGACTAAAAGTAGGATAATTTAGATGTTTGCAACTTCTGAAGCACTTATCTAACCTTTACTCCTGATTGGACCATAACTTTTCTAGCAAGTAAGCTACTGAACTTCTATTGGCTCATCTCTTCTTGTTGGTTTAAATTGGTGCTTGCAGGTCAGAAATAGGCATTCATATCGTTTAATGAAGGTCATTAATTCATGAGCTGTCACCTTAATTTTCTCTATCTTGATACGGGTTTCATGAAGACACTTGACACTTCTATTCAGTGAGATTCAAAGATTAAAGTCATATAGACAACTCCAGCAATTCCTCTCGAAGACTTTTTCATTCTGTGAGGGATTTATATCCTGGAGGTGAGTCAGACTCGATCTGGTACCGAGATATAATGAGGTATGGCATCATGGATAGTGTAACTCAGTTATACAGTGATGTTTATGTGCTTGAGCTTGAACCCTGTGGAGTTCCCAACCAGATTAATTAGGGGACAATTTCTTTAATGCAAGCGTCTTTATTTACTGACGTGTACGAGAAAACTGGAAATAGGGGATGCGTTCACTTAACTATCGACTGTACACAGGAGACGCTGTGTATTCCTATTCTCATGCATTTGTATCATTTTGACTCGACGAGGCGTTTTAGAAGGTTTGAACTTTAGCCTCGAAATAACGAAACTTCTAGAATTCACAGCGAATAGCTTCCGATGTTTCGGAACTTGATCCAACTAGTTTGGACCCTTTAGGAGGATGAAAAAATTGAACTGAAATTTAAAAGGTGTGGTCAAGGATACTGCGTCGATTCTATTTTTAGTCGTTAGTAAAGTGGGCTTGCTAATGTTCTAGTAACTCAGTAACTCAAAGTTTCCTTTCTTAAACGTCGTCTCCTGCTCTTAATGGGTCTTTCTGTAGATTGTAGTTGTCTACAAGGGAGGGTTGGTTATGTGATCGCTTTAGATCATACCGTAGATTTCAGTACTGTGTCTTCTGCAAAGCGGACTGTTTTGGGGCAAGATTAATTTGTGAGCTAGTGCTAAAGGCTGGACAGTGTACTACAATGGCCATAGCTTGTGGGCCAATTGCTTTACGAAGTGACATTGGCCTAGAAGCACTATGAAACAGAGGGAGACCAGGACTTGGAGGGGTCAAAGGTACCCGAAATCGCAAGGACTGAGGATGGCACAATGCGACATCACACCACTTTTGTCTAGATCTTTGATGTCTCTCCGACACTGACAAACCACGTCATGGTTAATGACGCAGTCACATTTTTTGTAAACAGTCGATGCCCGAGTTAATCACGTATTTACATAACCTCTGTGCTGTTTTCTCTCATGCATAATTGCTGAAGCGCACGGTTTTGGGAATGTTAAACGGTCAGATATGCGGTCTGTTATGTTAAACCGTTTCTACATATTTCTAGTAAAATGTATATCTAGAAAGACGTCTCCCCTGCAGACAACTCTAAGCACAGTTTTTACAGCGATGCCTCATTTAGCCGCTCAGCAGTAAGGCATTTGAATGAATGGCAAAACTTTTGCAAGATAGGCGGCCGTGATGCCTCTAGCATAACCGTGGTTTACCGACACTCCTATGGTGGTACATTCAACCAACATGTAGAGCGTCTGCCCGATCCTGGACGTCAAATCGAAGGATAACCCATCATATGACGAAGTTGGATAAGAGATGGCCGGTGAATACAAGACGCACATACATGGACACCAACACCTCTTCTGTATTGTAGGAGACGTCATTCCTTTTGTGAATTTCATATTTTTCTGTCTATTCAAATGGGATTTGTCGTTGAGGCAAGTGAAGGGGTTAATTTTAGTCCATTAAAAATTTCTATTTTAATTGATTGGTTTAGGCAAGTACGGCCTTGAAGCCTCTGAAGCCGCAGCAGTGAACAGCCTGGTCTTCGTGGTGTCTGCAGTAGCCAGCCCATTAGTCGGTGCAATGGTGGCTTGGATTGGCTACAGCCTGATTTGGGTTACCTCGGGCGTCGCATTGTCCGTCATCTGCCATGGTGTCTTTGCTTTCGTCTCCACAGGTCTTCCTCCAGCTGTGACTATGTGTTGCCTAGGCTTAAGTTACTCCGTCCTTGCCAGCAGTCTCTGGCCTCTTGTCGGTGCTGTGTTGCCACAGTATCAGCGTGCAACTGCATATGGCCTCATCCAGTCCGTTCAAAACCTCGGTCTTGGACTCATCTCTCTCCTCGCTGGCTATATCGCCGATACTAAGGTACTTAATCTTCATTTTCAAGACCGAGATCTTTCTCCATTGAAGGATCTAATCGTCTATTCATTGTCTTTCAGGGATATCTAATGTTAGAACTTTTCTTTATCCTCTGTGCATCGGTTGCATTGTTGGCAGCGATGGTGCTGATGTTGTGGGACCTTCGGAATGGACGCAATCTGAACGCACCTTCTACAAGATGTCGACGAAGAAAGGTTGTCACCTCGCCAGTGGTGTCGCCTGTTCCTACGGATACCACACCGCTTCTGGGATGATTGCTCTTCATTGTTCTTCCGAATTGTGTTAATGAAGTATTTTTTCCTATTCCATTTCACGCTTTTGTCGAAGGGAGACAAGAGACATACGTCGATACGGAGGTCCGTGCTTCTGGCGTGTCTGGGTAAGGTGGAAGTACGATCAATCAGGAGAACTGAATCCTAGAATGAAAAGCAGGAACTTTTACTGGTGTTGTAAATGTTTCCAGTAGAAAATGTGGATAACTGCTCTTCTTGAACCGCGTGGAGCCTCATCTTTCGTGTAATGAGGTTGCACTCGAGCTCAATTCTTCCGTGGCACTGGTGAAGGCAACGTATTCACCATTCCGAAAAGCCAGCACCAAATGCCTCTTGTTCTCACTCATCACCTATGCCATGACTGGTCCACTCCCCTCAGCGATGCATCACGTGGTCAAGTCATCAGGATGGGATTCCAGTCGAGGTCATTACGTTGGGTCAAATGCGAAGGCAATCGTTAGGCACCACGAGGTCGACTTCTAGTCGATGTGGCACGCGTTTATTTATTAAGCCCTATTAAATGTTCCCTCTAGCCCGCAAATTTCTCATGTCTGGAAGATATGGTAATGGAGGAGTAGTCTTCTTAACTGTTCAAACTATTTCGTGGAGGTCTTAGGGGCCGCAATGCTGGCTAAGTGTCGAATTTGAAGAAGGGAGGTGTTGGAGATGATTGTTGAAGGTCTACCCCCGATCTCGTGTCTCATTGATCTTCCGTGTATAGTACCCGATACACAGGAGGCCATCTCTTCGCCTCAAGGGAATAATGCTTGTCCCAAATTGCAAGAATGACAACCATGGTAGACAGGAGTTGCATGACACCGAGGTAAGATCGACTTCGAGCCTTTTTCTCATCCATCCATCAAACACTCTAAGGAAACTACGAGAAGTTTTGAAGTCAGCGTGACACTTGAAGGTGTGGATATCTCTCCATCTCCACAGCCGACTCCAAGTACAGTTCGTACGACGATGCCTCACTCATCAGTAAGACATACGAATGCGTAGCAGAAATTGTTGAAAGACCGGTGGAAGTGATGACTACAACATCAGAACTGTTTACCTGCGCTCCTATGCTCAAACATTTAACTAACGCGGAAAACGTCTGCCTGATCCTGGATGCCAAATCTAAGGCTAGCTTACTGCGTGACGAAGGTGGATAAGAGATGGACGTTGAATACAAGACGCTCACCCGTGGACACAAACACCTGTCCATGCATTTGACCTCACGAAGTGACCTCCCCCGAAATCCCACTCTAATGTCTCACTCACATGGTACGTCACGGATGGGAGTGGACTGGTAACGACAGTGTTAGTCAAGAAAGGGAGGCATTTGATGCTAGCTTTTCGAAATGGTGAATGCATTGTCTTCATCAGTGCCGCAGAAGAATTGGGCTCGCGTACGACCTCATCACGTGACAGATATGCTTCTGCGCGGTGGCTACTCATTCTGCTGTCAACGTCTATGTATGTGCGTATGTCGGCACGCTCTCTGACGCGTTTCCAACCGGAACAATGAAAGAGACAAAGACCTCGGTATGGAAGTCATAATTGCTGAGGTGTGAGTGAGGTGGGGGTAGGGGAGGAGTGGTGGTCTGCACGTCTGACGGTTGACAGATGGTCGGATAATAAAGGGACGAGATGGTACCTCGTCGCGTTCATTACCACATTCATTTTTGCTGAATGTGGTACTGGCCAGAGAGAGAATTGAAAGAGAACCCGATTATCGCATATCTCGAGAATATTTGACAACTAAATTCGATTAAGCTTTGAGAATACCAAAACAGACGCGTCTTCTAGACTTCTTCACATTATCAGCGCGTTCATTCATGCAATCGCTGACGTAGTGGCTGCTAAGGCCAACCGTATGGTGCATTGTCATTGGTGTACATGTCTAGGTGTGGCCATCTTTGGTGCGTTTGGCGGCATTCACTTGCAAACTGGGCTGCTTTTAAACAGTGCACAGTACAGAGCGCCTAAATTCCTTCCTTGCTGGAAATGTCATTTTGACATATGCCTGGATTGCCGACACTTTGATGTGTTATGTCTGGCACTTAGGGTACCTCGATATTTTAAATGCAATCCTGTTGCAGCGTGTCAGGTCTCCCTCGAAGAGCTGCGTTTGTCGAAGTTAATGAGGAGAATCTATAACATAGTAGTACATTTTATTCGTATTTGTAATTTATTAGTGTGCGATGATATTAAGGGATACCAAAACGTTTGATTTTAGCTTTTTACACCAAACTTTTCTAAACACTGGCAGTCTGAAAAGCATTGAAGTAAATATTATTGCTACTAAAATAAGCTAAGTAAACACCTTTTAATCCCCTAAGTGGATATCTTCCGGTAGACTGTTCAATTGTCAGTTTACGAAAAACGAGTGCTGCTTACCGTACTAAATATTTATAGTCTAAAATTGTTTTCAGCTTGACATTGGTGTATCGTGCCGTCTTGCCATGCCATCAATTTGCATTTTCAGTCCCCTCAGTTGACGGCAGCGTGGAATAGAAAAGGCTTGAAATTAAATGCCTCATCCAGTCAATACATTCACCAAATGTGGCAAAACCTGCGGAGCCTTACTAATAAGACGTTTTAAAAAAAGCGAATGCTGCTTGAGCACCCGCTGTATGGCAAATTCCACATGTCACATATATGTGACGCTAGACGATGTCGTCATTATTACAAATAGAGGTAGAAATACTGGATCATCAAAACAGGTCTCAATAAATCGGCTACGTTTACGAGAGAGCTGAGACCTGGAAATTAATATCCATTTGGATTGTTCAAAATACCGCCACAGGACCTAATGGGACTTCTGTTCCCATGCGCTCTCCTCTCTCTGCCGGAATTCCAAGTCACAGCGGCTGCAGTGGTGTGTTATTTATTGTGTCTGACCAATTTCTGGGTCTTTTTCGTTCCCTCGGCTAATCCTCCATCCGTTTCTCCCTGTCCCTCCCCAAATCCCATTTTCATCTCCCACTTCCCGTTGTATGTACATATATGTGCATGGACGTGTGTACGCTTGTGTCTGCACAAGCCCGTTTGGCTGTGTTGCCTTAATCACGCAGACGTTCTACTCGTGATGGGCATACACACACCAAGTCAAACGAACCGCAAGTGCGTGCGTGAATGGCCGCGCAATTGATAATTGAAGTTTACGCTCGAATCTGTGTAAATGTGCCTCTACGGTTGAGATTCGCGCCACGATAAGACAGGCACGAGGCGGTGACGGTAGCAGCGACAGCAACAGTAGCCAATCAGGTGGTGGCTGAGTCATCGGACACGTGTACGTGCGTGCCCGCGGACAGTTCGTGTCCGCCGTTTGCACGCAAGCTTTTTATGTACGTAGGTAAGATGGGGGCCATGAGGGGATGGTGGCGTCGCCTTTTAACGAGTCAGGGTACAGAAGGCGTTGGAGGGTGAGGGTGGCTAGGACGGGCAGAGGAGGAGAGTGAGGGCTTGATGACACACACTAGCAAACTACGTACTCGCGTCAATCATGTGTGGCCCTGTTAAAATGGTCACAAACGTCCGCGGAGTAGCCTCTCCTGAGGGCTTAATTACTTTTCGCATCTGCCTAGCCAAATTTAGAAGTAAAGCCCGACTTCTCAATGGATGGCAAAAAGAAGTGGTTAGTGTCTTCATCACTAGGTGTTTAAAAGGGCTAAAGAGACCGGTAGCAAAACTTTATACCGCCATCGCGGAAGCCCATTCGGTGGAGACTCATTAGGTCTACATGGTTATTGGCATATTTTCCTCGGCGCCTTTTGATGACACGGTAAATGGCCGACATTATGGCTGAACCGCCGTCTTCAACAGTGGCTGTGTTTTTTGTGCATTTGAATGGCATTCCACTTGTCATGTGCTCCGCTGTGAAGCCGTATCGATATGGCTTACCCGAGTGAGATTGTTTGAAGCTAGAGGGGTTTCAGAAGGTGGCCCTCACCTCCCACAACCTCCTTCCAATGCCTTGTTAACTTGTGGTTAGAGGAAGGGAGAGAGGAGTGGAAGATTTGTACTTCAAGTTGGAGAGGATGTATTGCCTCAACCTCATCTCAACCACATGGTCACATATTCAGTAAAAGGGATGGAAATTGGCTGGAAATAGAGAAAAGCGTACTTCGTATGAGTGGAATGCGCAACATAATGGTGTCTCGTTGGATGGCCAAGGATTATGAGGGGTGATGCTGATGGCCAAACGTCATACCCATGGTTGTCGTGTTACCACGCCTCAACACCTTCTGCCAGCTTATTGTAATTACTTCACCAGCGCACATCTAGACATTGAACGTAGGGACTCGTGTGCCAGCTTTTAGAAACAAGATTTTACTGCCTCCCGTACAGTCTGTGTGACCCGGAAAAGAATGAATGTGGAAAGGCACTGCCGTAATTAAAGCTTCTTCGAGAGGGCCCTTACCGAGCGTGCTCACAACGCCAAGGTCTCGTTGAAGTCCCCCTTTAAGGAGCCCACTTGAAGAATGTATCTAACGACACCGCCTTCTCCTAGTGGTGATATCCAATGAGCTAACCCCACAGATTTAGTTTTTTTTTCGTGTTTTGAGTAGCCAAAAGGCATCTAAATAGCACCCACGTGGAAAGCGGAATGCCAGGAGCCTGCGTACTTTGGTGTTCAAATCGGCCCGGGACTTTTGAGGTCATAAGGTTAACAAAATTCTGCTTCTAAATTTCTCCAAACACTTGTTTCGGGGGGGTCAAAAAGATTTATCGGTATGGCCAAACCATCCTGGGAACTGACGTCTTGGTCCTCTTTATCATCGACACTGAGACACTCCGCTGCGCATGCATCCACCACTTGGATGCTTATTCCGATTCAGGAGTGAAATTATTCGTCACTATTCTTGACTACACGAATTTAGGTAAGCTTAGTCTTCCAAAACGCGAATGATCTGGTCTTCTTGAGTGATTTGACCGCTGTAATGACTCGAACAGAATTCCGTGGTTTCTTGATTTGTGCAGGATTTGTGTCCAGTCGATCCATCGGAAGCCATGAGATTTGTCACCGAAGTTTGGAATGAAGTCTCTTCCCAACCTTGTCGAAAATAGCGTTGGGTCTTAGTTCCTGGCTTAAGAGTGATTTTCAAAGCGTTGACACAATGCGGGGTGAGGAGGGCATGATGACAGAAACCTTTAATTTCTTAAATGATATTCTAACGCTGATGTCAAGAGAGACAGATAGTCAGCAACTAGAGCTTGGAGAAACCTGAGAAAAGGACGGAGGGTAGTGATGAGGTTGAGACATCATCTGCCCCAGTTCTGCTCTTCCTCCCTCTCAGAACAAGTTGGCAAGACAACCACTTTTGTATTGTTCTTCTTATCAGGAGGAGGGGGGCGGGGAAGCTAGGTTTTGTCTTTGGATAAGTGTTCCAACTCAACGTGGTGTTCTTTTAAATAGCGTCTAGCTTCAAGCTATATCACCCAACTGAACCATGTCGATGCGATTTGACAGCAGGGCATATGACAGGTAAAATTCCACAGCGAATGTGGGAGATCCACAACCGCCTTTGAAGTCGGCATTCCCTGCGCCATCAAAGGGAAACACTTACTGCGGAAGCTACTTACCAATTCCTATGCCTTTGAACACCTTCAGAAGGGACCGCACCATAAGAGGTACTTGCGGGCGGCCTTCTTTCTTACTTCCACTTTTGCTCCGACCCACCTAGGGGGAGGGGGGGGAGGGTGGAAAAAAACCGCTAACAGAAGTCATTGAGAGAAGGAAAGAGCTGAAGAGTCGCCTTGTGGAGAGGTTAATTTTTCAAAATTAGTCCATCTGCTTGCAGACGGATGAATCACTGATCAAATGAGATGACAAAAAGGGCAGCTACTAACTTTAGTAACCTCCTGTCTGCGCGATAACTCATTGCCGCAAGTACATCAGAACGCACGTGTCTGGAGGCAATAACTGAGGAGGATATTCATGCTTCGTGAAGAAACGAGTGAACAAAGATAAGATTTTTTTCGAGACAATTTTAAAAGAATGTCGGTAGTTTTAGCGTCTATTTGTGATAGAAACGGGATGTGGGGATCAAAAAGTCACCAAGATGTCGTGTAGATCACCTCCAGAGGCTAAAGATACTCTGTCGTTGAGCATTTCAGTTAACAGTCTAACAGCAGTGAGGCCAAGCATAACTGATGGCTTTTTCTGTGACATTTGGTGATGGTTTCCGGTTAATGAGATAAGAAGTACCGCCCTGTACTCTTTCAGTACCTCTTGGAGATGAAATACGTTCCATCGATCAGGAAGAAGACTTGAAATTTACAGTCGGATGAGCTGGTGAAACATTCAGATTGAAGTCACCTGTTTTACACCTTGAGCCCTTTTGTATTATCAAGGTCCTAACCATAGGTTAAGGATAATCAGAACGTAGCTGTGATTTTCAACCAGTATATGATAGAGTTCTTATTGACAGATCTACCATTCTTGCAAAGTTAGATATCGATAAGAAATCCTCTAAGATTTTGAGGAAACTTTGTTAAAATTTTGCTACTTTTGTCATATTAATTTATCATAAGTAAACAAGCAACTCATGCATCTGTTGAGCGAAATTCCCACAATCGAAGGTTTCCACTTTTGTCAAATAGATCACTTCTTGAAACCTACTTTTCCACATTTAACAAACTATGAATGGTTACAGCATTTGATTCCCACCATCTTCCAAGGAAATAGATTATTTATTCCATATGTGTGCAATTGAAAAACTAATGGATAAATACAGGCTGGCTGGATGGATGGATGGATGGATGGATGGATGGATGGATGGATGGATGGAT